TATATAAAGCGGATGCAATTCATAATAGATAAACATATTCTTTGAAATAGACAAGACATGTCTTTTGTATTCATGTCTAGTTTGACGTTAGATGAATGATCAAAGGTAACCATTCAAAAATAGAACATGTTCCATAGGGTATAATATTATTATCTAAACTCTTCCCTAAAAACAAGCTTAAGCAACTCAATTCAGCTCATAAATCTATTAACTGAATTGAACTGAATAGAAAAGAATTTTCTATAGTTATAGCTTTACTTCAATTCAATTCAAATTAAAAATGTCTATTAAATTTAGCGATTATACATTTTTCAAGCAGAAACTCAGAAAAATCAAGAGTTTCAATACGTTCTCTGATATTCATCCAGATGACTTTTTCATAAATATCTGTTTGATTTGATTGCGACTGAATAAGTTAATTTGAAAACAATGAATTATAGTTTAGTTGGAAGAAAAAACTTGTCATGTTAGAGTTGCGTGAAATACAATGGAATAATCAATTATTTGAAACAAATCGAGTTAAAGGATGGTGTAATGAGTTAAAGGATTGAAATGAACTTTTGTATATATTGTTATATAGTATCAAAGTAAGAGATATCATGAATATGATTAAATTACAACTTTCTTATTGATCTCATTCCTGAATTATTCAAAAAATATCGATTTATACGATATCATCACATCAGCAATATATAGTGTACTTTATTGATATCCATATAACTAAAACCTGATAATATATCATCATACCTTATTTGAACGATGAAATCTAGCATTTCACGATGAAAAAATCAAATAAATCAATATTCATTATTTATTAGATACATTCATCAATAAATGATATGATATAAATGAAAAAAAAAAAAACATTAAATGCTATGGTTTCAATAGTAGATATGAGTGTAAACGTCAACTAATATTTATACGCACACCCTCAGTTACAATTAAAAAGAAAATTTCTGTAAATTCATACAAAATCATGACGTAAGTTTCGTTTAGAGAAGTATAATATAGACAGAACGGAAAGCAGCACAGTCCTTTCGGTTAACATTAGTGGATCTCTATAAATTCATTAGCATTCAATAAATCTTCTTTTTCCCTGTTGAATGATGTTGAGTAATCCTTCGAATCTGATTGATGAAGAATATTTAAGTATTGTAATGTTGTATTGCTTTGTAAAATTTCAAGAACTTGTTTTACACCATTATCTTCAATATTATTATCTCGAATATTGAGCAACAGCAATGCTTTATTAGTTTTAAGTGCCTGCGTCAATGCAACAGCACCATCGTAACCTATTCGATTGAAACTGATATTTAATTCTTGTAAGGTTGTATTGTTTAACAATGCTTCGCCTATCAATTTAGCTGCTTGATTTCCTAATCTTCCATGGGAATATGTAATTTTTCTTAGTCCAGTATTTTGTTCAATCATTTTGGCCCATTCGACGGAGAGATTAGTATCACTTGTACCAGATGGAATGTACATATTACTAAGTGATAATGCTGCCAATGTTTTGTTTTTCACGAGACCTCGGAAAAGATGAATAGCCTCGTCGAATGGTAATTCACAGCAATGTAAAGACAGACTAACCAAACTCTCACTAATAATAATAGAAGACGTACTATTGAATGTTTTACTTGCAAGTATATTACAATTATTTAAAGTAAGATTTTGAAGAGTATCAGGACTTTGAATGACTTCACGAAATAGACTAATTTTTGGTTTGTATTCATAAAAACCCAATGCTAATTTTTTAATGGATGTTTTCTCGCAGAATAATTCAAAAAGATTAATATTAGAAATATGTTGAGTACCTCCACCGCGTATTCTTATTAATTTCAATATTTCTAATGATTGATTGGCTTTCAATGCATCGGAAACATTGATTAATGTTTGCATATCAATACCAGTATCCAAAGTAAGATTAAGTTCAGTCAAATGATCATTTTTTTTCAACATCGTGGCTAATTCAGTTACTTGTTTGCTAATAGAAATATTATTTAAAGCTAATACTTCTAATGTCTCATGTTTGACTAACGCTTGGCTAAGCATTCTAATTAACAATAACAAATTTTCACATAAGAGAAATCGTAATGCACGTAGACAAGGTTTTTTTAATATGAATTGTTGTAAATCAACGATCAGTTTATCATCGAATTGAATTGAAGATATTGTCAGATGAGTAATCGTGTTATTGATTTGAAGAGCATTGCTTATCTCTCGATCGAATTGATTAATTGAACAGTTGGTAATTGTTTGATTTTGTTCAAGAGATTTGATTATTCGAAGTATATCAGATTTATTTAGATTGTAAAGTGCTATCTTCTTTCCATCATCGTGTGTATACACGTGAAGTAGTAATCTTTCAGTCGATTGTTTAAGACCAAAATCGAATAGATCCAGATCAGAAGTAGATTTATCTTTGGGATATTTAACGATGTATGTAATAGTCAGATGTTCACATTTATTTACAGTTTTTTCTAGCTTTTTAATTATGTCACGATGTGTAATTGTGAGGCTAATAAAAGATGATATAGTAATCGAATCTAATTCGAAATACTTGATGTGTTGACGATCACCAATCAGAATAAGAAACTTATCGAATGTTGACTCACGTATTTTGCAATCACGTAGAGTTAACTTCACTAGATGTAATCCTTGACTGATAATATTTAATAGTTCATCAATATTCTTCATACCGATTTCGTTAATCGTCATTTCGTCACCTTGTATTATACCACCTTGTGTACGAAATTGTTTTCGTAATTGTTTGCTTTTTTCATTACAATAGAATTTATTATAATGATGTAGACATACCCATCGAACACTACCATCTTCTCGTGTCGATCGATACAAATTGCCTAATGTTCGATGAATATCTTTCTTTTGTAGAAAGCTTTCCATTTGTCGTAAATCAGCACCTTCCAAAGTCATATTTCGTAATGAATCCAGTTGACTGGAAGGAATATGTTCATCTAACATTGCAGATAATGGCTTAAGTTTTTCTTGGAAATTTGTCAAAAATCTTTTGTCACGTAGAACCTCAGGTATGTAAATTCCCGATGCTACATGACCTAACTGTGGTATTAGAACACCGCTTACAGTAAGTGCTACATTAACAACAGTGATCATGTTTTTCAAATAAGGTCCATACTTCTGTATAAATTTTCCTGGTTGATCGAGCTCATAACCATCGTGAAATGCCAAATGACATTGTTCTTCATGTTCACAAAAGAAGAATAAACGAAAGCAGTTTCGAAATCGATTCATTTGCTTCAATTTACTTGTTGTATCAGGTAAAATAATGAAAAGACGAGGAACAGTAAATTCTGCCAGCTGAAATGTTTGTCGAAGGAGAGCATCAGCTTTTTTCTTCAATATTTCCATGTCTAAATCTATTTTATCTACTTTTTCATCTATTCGTTCAACACTTTTTTGCAAACGATCTAGTTTATTGTGAATAGTTGTAACACCTATCATACCTTCCACTATATCACAATCAATGATGGAATTAGGCATAGCTGGAATTCGTAGAGGTATTTCTCGTTCATAACGATTGTTACGTACAAAACGCACAGGATTACTCTTACAGGAAAAAGATTCACCTTTGTACCCAGTTCTACCATGAATGTCATCCAAAAGAACAAACGATTCACCGTCAATAGGTTGAATCGGAACTTTATATTCGGAGTCTTTGAAACGGAAACATTGGTATGGTTGATCTGCCATTATAGTTACGTTTATTTTTTTATAGTAATTCTAAAGAACAGGTAAGATATACGTAAATATTCTTTTGTGTTGCTTTTATGTTGAAGAAACGCGCTTACGTACAATTATCTTATCATTAATGTTTGTCTTTTTATCTATATACCAGTGTCTGCATATGAGAGAAACACTCTGCGAACAAAAAGAACTACCTTTTTTTCTACTACGTCTTTTTATCATCTAATACGTTCTTTTCGCGGAAAAAAACAGAATATACCACATGATGCAACGTGAAAAGCACGATCATTTACAAAAGAGTTTATTAGGTATCGAAAAAATCAATTGGTAAAAGATTGTTTTTTTTTGTCTGAGAGAGACTCAAGAAAAAACCGACAGAGTACGTTGATTAACTCCTATTCTCTTGGGATTCTAGACACAAATTGTGTAAGATTACATAGAGTATTTGAATACTGTTAGGCACAGTTAACTATTCATACTTTTAATTGAATTTTTGCTATTAAATAGTATAGTTTTTAAAATAAGTTCATCATCAGCATGAGGCTGCAACAATTCAATTGTTGAATGATAAAGTCGTGATCATTTTACACGCTAGTCTACATTGTGCAACATCAATCCTATATAGAAATTGTTTATAAATCATAATTCTTTATTTCATAATGCTATCAAATAATTCAGATGCCAGCATGCTATAGTAGTTTAATTAATATGTCGTTTTCGATGAAGACTCAAGAGGGAAAAATTGATACTTTCGTACTCCCTTCGTACTTTCTTGTACTCCCTTCGTACTTCAAAAACATTTTGAAGTAGATGAAGTCTTGTTTTTTCTTCATTGAGGCGGTAGCAATCAAGATCAATAACAAGTGATTTCACTCAGACTCTTGACGTAATGAAATCTGCGAATGATTCTTTCCTTTACTAGTCATCGCTAGTTTCTGAATATGAATATTCCTTGAAATTTTTCTCTTTACAAAACGTTTTCTTTAATGAAAAACATCTATTAAAATAATAACACAAGCATATATGTTCCGGTGTAGGACTACTGCTAGGGACGTCACTTACAATTTTCTTTTAGGAAGCAAACGGAAGATGAAATTGACACCTTTAATTTCCGTTGTATGCTTTCTCATCGATGTACATGAATATCATTTAAAGAAGTAGAAAGTAATCGAAACTATGGCAGTATCTATATACATATATTGAAAGAGTTTAAGTATGCAAATGATAGACAATATCGTGGGTTCAGCCAATACAAAGCACTTTGTGGAACAACGTCGGCGATCGATTGTTCTCGATTATCTGTTGACAGCTTCAACGCATGGATTACGCAGTGTGGGCCGTGCTTATTCCAAATACAATCGAAATTTTTGGATCTTTACATTCACGGTTGCATCCGGCATCATGTTGTATTTTGTCATATCGGCTATTTTACAGTATTTTGCCTATCCAACACAAACAAAAGTTGAAATTCGACTCGATCGGCACATGGCATTTCCTGCTGTCACTATTTGTAGTGGAAATGCTTATCGCTATGACACGATAAACGCATCATTGATTTCTTATTTCTATCGACTGATGTCACCGAATACAACATTCAATCAAACTATTCTTAATTCACTTCTTATACCATTGATTACTGATTTATTCAGTCGAAATCAAACTAAAGAATTAGTATCAATTGGTTTTCAACTAAGTGATTTCTTACTTGAATGTACGTATAATGGAATTAATTGTTCTAATGTATTTACACCATCGATATCACCAACTATGGGCAATTGTTTTACATTTAATTGGAAGTCATCAGAAAAGGTCTTCACTGTCAGTGATTATGGTGATACTATTGTGGTGCAAGAGGGCTTATTAATGTCGTTCTACTTACCACAAGAACTCTTTTTTCCTAGTAGATGGTTCGATATAGGTCTCGTCGTTACTTTGCATGATAATGATGAACTTCCAGTACCTACTGAAACAGGTCTCTATCTGCAGCCGGGTGCATCTCATTTGATTACCTATCAGAAGAGTGAAAGAACATTCTTACCAGCTCCGTACACAAATTGTACATCGTATGTTAGTGACGATTTACGTGCTCTCTATGCGTCAACATTTATCGATCCCACGGCTTCGACTGAAGTCGCCTATTCTGAATCTTTATGTTTGGAACTATGTCAACAATCTTATATCTTTTCGCAATGTTCATGTATATTTCCTATACCATTTTATGCTCGCAAGGTGTTTACAATTGATGGTATTCTTGTCTCGGCTGATTTTTGTAACACATTTACTGATCAACCGGCATGCGTATTTCGTGCCAAACAACAATTATCGGCTGATGATAATCTTCTAGCAAAGTGGTGTTCACGATGTGCTTCTCAATGTAATCACATCGATTTTCAAACTAACCTCGGTGCGCAAGGAGCTCCATCCCAAGGAGACAGAGAATATTGGAATGAAATGCTACTTAGTGGACAGTACAACACTAGTGTCTTATTTCCCAGCGACTTTGCGCAACGTTTTGATTATTATCTAGACAGAAATTATTTGAAACTGGCTGTATCATGCGGTAGTAAGTATACTATCGAATATAATCAAGAAGCCAAATTATCAATAATCGATACTTTTTCTGCAATTGGTGGGCAAACAGGCTTGTAAGTAAAAATCTTTCTCTTCTGCATTCATTAATCATTCTAATATATTTAGATGGATCGGACTGAGCGTCTTGAGTGTCATTGAACTATGCGAACTTGTCTATCGATTCGTACGTCATTATCTCTACGGTTACAAGACCAAACGAAGTTCCATCGTTACACCAATGACAGATACTATAAATGAGAGAAAATATTAGTTTTTATTTCATCTATGCATGCACCATTGACGTTGATGATACATCACTCACAAAATCTTTCTCAATTTATCTTTCATAATAACAATCGTGATAATAAAATACAAAAATAAAACTAGTCGGAAGAAATTATCTGTATAAAGATTTTGATTGTACATGTATTATCTATCAAGATAAAACATTGATTAGTAGGATGCTAGTTTTTAGGTGTCGGTTTTTGTCTATCACAGTCTCATCCTCGATGGATTGTTTGATAGTCAATTGTAAATCTTTGATACTGTGTGTGTATATGCCGTTATTATAATCCTCTTGACTTTGCAAGTATATTAAAAAAGATCGGTGACTATTCATTTTTGACCAAATTTATTAGTCTCTGTTTTATTCAACGCCATCGATGAATAATTTGAAATACGGCTTCAGTTCGTTTTTACCATTTACAAACATAGCTCTATGGCTTCTTCACTTTACTGCTATACGTTGTATATTTGCAATCTTATTTACAAGACACACGATATAATAATTTTGAATGTAGTTTTTTTCTTTAGAAACCATGTTATTATAGCTAAGTAAGAAGAAATAGGTATGCTACGAAGAATAACATGAAAATAAATACTATTTAAATACACTGTTTTTTGTAAATATACAGGTAAGAGTATAGATATGACACGAACTACGTCGTTGACGCAGATTATCACAGTATTGTGTAGTTCCCTTTCATTTGTTTCACGCGTCAAGAATAAGCATTTATTCAAAAAAAAATTTAGCAATAGTATATCAAGAATGAGTTTATATGAGTTTGTATCGATTAATCCACCAGCGACGAGCTAATGAATTCTATAGATCCACGTTTTCATCTTATTGTTCATTTTGTCTTCAAAATATGAATGATCAAAGGCAAAAGTAAATATTTTAATGAGAGATATTGTAATATCCATATCCTCATCTACAGACATCTACATCATTTTTTATCTTATCTATAATATTCAGTCATTAAGCGATCTATATTTCGTTTTTCGTTTTTAGAAACAACTCTGTGATATCGAAAACAAATAAAAATATGTCTACGATCATTCCCAATGATAAAATAACAGTGAACGATAAAGGAAAATGGCGTCGTCGCCATTCAATTGTTCGTGAATTCAGTTTAAATACATCGACTCATGGAATTCCGGGTATTGCTCGAAGTGAAAGTATACATAATCGTGTATTTTGGTCGATTTCTTTCATTGGCTTTGCTGCTATTATGGTCTATTTTATTGTTAAAGCAATTTCAGCCTATTTCGGTTATCCAACACAGTTTAATCTAGATGTTGTCAGCGAATGGCCACAATATTTTCCAGCAGTCACTATTTGTAATAGTTCACCACTTCGTTTTGATAAATTCATTGAACCATTTTTAAATTATACAAATTCACTTAATTTGACTAATTCGAATGATACCAGTACATTGTCATCAATTCAAGCAACGTATGTTTCAGATTTTCTAATTGATAAAATCAACAAAAATGAATCATTGGAATCAATGTTTTATTCTCTTTCTTCAATGCTCTACAAATGTACTTACAATGGTTTGCCATGTTCAACAGCTGATTTTATTTCATTTACTACAGCATCTTACGGTCGTTGTTATACATTCAATGCTAAAATGATCAATAGCAACGGCGATAATCTACGTTATGGAAATGATAATGCTGGTAACGGAATACTTGAATTAGAATTTTATATACATAGTCATCAATATGTGCCGTATTTTACAACTGGTATGTAGGTGCTTAATTTATATACTTTCATTTTTTATCTTTATAAAAGGTATTGGTATGGTAAGTGTCGTACATGATAATACTGAAATTCCGCGAGTCGATGCAGAAGGCATTGAACTCACACCAGGACGAAAACATAAGTTGGCCTATAAGAAAAAACAAACTTTTTTATTACCTTCACCTTACACAGAATGTACTGACAAAGTTTCTTTCGGCATGCAAACCATGTTAACACATTATGATGGCGCTGATTATGGCAATGTTGAGTTCATATGTTTTCAAGTTTGTGGACAGGTGTATGCGTAAGTATTTTACGAGAAGTTTTATCTATGCGTTTCTAGACAATCTTACGAAATAATAGCTGATAGTATTCCCTTTCAAAATATGTGCTTATATTCCGATTCTCTTAAAAGCCTAAAATACCAGTTGAACAGAAACATTGCACGAGCAGTAATGTGAGAATAATCGAATTCTGGTTAAGTTATTACAGAGGCATAGACTATAATATGAGTTAACTAGTGCTCCTGAGCGAAAATATGAAAATTTGACAGTTTAAGAGATAGATTCTATAGTATACGAGATTAGTTTTTGAGATGGAGCGAAGGACTTGAGAGAGAATAAGTTTATGTATTTATTCTCGATTAGAAAATGTTTTTGTTGTAGTTATGAACAATGTGGTTGTATCGATCCTACTCTATGGAATACGCAGTCACTTGTATTACCAAGTACAAACAAAAGTATTTTTGCGCCTCTTTGCAAGTCCACTGATATCTGTTATACTCAATCATTTAACACACTTTTGAATTCGTACGATATTCAAGACATATATTGCACTGATTGTTCACAACAATGTACAGTGATCGATTTTTTTATTCAAACATCATCATTAGCAGTAGCATTCGAGTGGGAAATGAATGGGATTAAAGCATTTGTAGAAAATTCTTCAATTCCATTACCATCCGATTGGTCAACAACATGGCGTACATATATTCCAGAAAATTATTTGGTCCTTAGAGTCGTACGCGATACAAATTTAATCGAAAACTATACACAAACAGCACAACTTAGTGTAGTAGATGTTCTTTCAAATATTGGTGGTCAAACAGGTCTATGGATTGGTATTAGTTTTCTTTCATTAATGGAATTCATTGAAATGTTATACCGACTCGTTCGATACCAATGTCATTTGATTCAAGTGGCAATACAAAGAAGACAATAAACAATTTTATAATAAACATTGATCATTACTTCATTCGTAATAAAATAAATACAAAAACTGCATCAGATGTGTATACTGGAAATTCATCTGAAATCCTGTTCTTCTTAGTTAAAAATAGAACTTTCTCGGAAGCCGGGTGTTAGTGTGTGTTGATATCAATATGAGATAACTACACGCTCAAGATTAATAAGAAAAAATATATTGATTATTGATGAGAACTTGCTGAAGCGATAGTTCTCTTAAAATAAACTTGATAAAGAAAAGTGTAATTTATTAATGTTTAAAACTCTGAAAAGGACATTTAAGATCAACTGACAAATGATACAACATTTATTGTGATTAAAGTTGCAATAAATAAAAGTCAAAAATATAAAGATTAAGTTCTATTAGTTAACGAATGGCTAATTGTTTCACTTCGCTCATATTCAGTTGATGAGAGTATAGATAAAACTCATCAATCAATCCATAATATTGACTCATATTAATCGACTTTGGTTGCAAACCACAATCAGGTGGTGATATTCCTGGACCTTTTTGACCTAATATGATTGAAGCAGGTGTTAACATCGGTGAATATGAAAATGGATTTGAACTATTCACTAATGTACCATTGATGTACAGACTAATTCCTGTATTAAATGAATATGTTTGGACTAAATGTGTCCAAGTGCCGTTTGGTAGAGATGGACCATTAATAGTGATAACATTGATGCCATCGTATTGTTGAGCAATAACTATGCCTAATGTCGAGAGATCAAGTAAAGGTAAACACCAATTGACTGACGAAGTTGCTCCTGGCCATAAATACACGAGAGCTCCACCGTTAGTTGAATAAGGATAGATCCAGAGTGCAATTGAATATGCTCGATTGGACGCACCTAAGAGAGTCAGACCGGACGCTTGCACATAGGATGGATTCTGCGACAATTCTATGGCTTGATTGACAAATAAGATATTCGTACCAGTTCCATTAATTCTCATTGAACTCGAATCAAGTAAATCTGAATCAAATGAATAATGAACAACCAAAGTAGCATCGTCTAAAACTTCACTATAACTTTTGGCACGATTAGTAAACATTATGTGATCGATTTGACCATCAAAGTACCAGTTAAGAGGAGGGATTACTAAGCCAATTGTTAACGGTGTACTACTAGAACCTTGATATCCATGAATTGATGTGTTTTGACTCTCAATAATGCCATTCAAATAGACTAATTGTTGTTGTAATTCATACGAATAGATGAACGCAAGATGATACCATGTAGAGATATTTAGAACTGTCTTTCCCAAGCAATCATTTGTAAAAAATCCAAAAAATGGTATACCACCACGTAGTGCCATTTGAAGGCATTGATTAGTTACGGCGGCAGTGCATTGTCCAATTAAACCGTTTATACCCATTGCATTCAATGATTTAGCATAAAACCACACTTCAAAAGTAAAACTACAATTGATCAAATCTAGTCCTGGTGATGGAATATTTACATATTGGTTTGCATTCGATCGAAGATAAAGGGATGAACCATAGCCTGTGATGCCCGGTAATAAATAGGATCCATTATTAATCACTACACCGTTATAAACATTATAAAAATCACGGGTATTGTTATCAAATGGCCAGAAAATATTTGTATATGACATATTTTGTGGTGCTACAGCATAAAATCACATAAACAATGTTTAACAAAAATAATCTTAATCTGTAAAATCGCACTATTTCTTATCTTTCTATTAATGACTGAATTATGTTAAAGCATTCAACATATCTTCAGTGATATCATCATTTGTAAATAATATCTGATAACGCTTTCTGGTTAGTCTACTTAAACTTTTATTAAACTCACTTATTTTATTTATAATTTTAATATGAGACCAACTGTTTTAGTTTTAATCTGATAGTGGAACATCTGGCACCATTATCGATATCTGAATAGTTTAATATTTTTTGACTATACGTTGGGCGATGGACTATAGAAAATGTTATTGTACGAGTCTAGGAAATCGAAGAATAACTCGTGTATTGACAACAAACAGTCAGCATTATTTCATCCTACTATAAATTCCTTTGAGATTCAATTCTATGTCACTTACTTGTGCAGATTTTTGATGCTGAACAAATGAGTCCTAATGTATCGTAACGGCACATTTGACTATTGTTGCATGTTGCACCTGAGTAACGCTGATTTTCACATAAAACACCATTCCAAAAACTATTCCGTGGACATTGACATGTGTTATTTGAGCATGTCAGAAATCGACTTTCTATGCATTGTAAGCACGCTTGCCCAAAAGCATTGAAAAGACTTGGCGAGAGTCGAAGAGCTCCGACATGTGAAGTTGACATTGCAAGTGTCATATTACCTGTATTACTCGCACCTTCAAACAGACGACAAACACCTGATGACGAATTATAATCAAATGTTCGACAGTGTATATTGAGATTACATTCTACAACAAATAATATTTACAATATTTCCGAAGTTCAATAGAATTGAAATAAGTTAAACTCACGTGCACCGCATCTAAGAAACGATGGTGTAACGAGTGTCACTAGTAGCTCAACAGGATTAGCTGGTTGAAATTGACAGCCTCCATTGGTAAGATGGATATTGGAATTAATAAAAACCATCTGACCATCAATTGATGCGATGGAAAATAAGAATAGCAGAAAAAGCATTGATGTATATGATTTATTTTGTGATAATCGAATAGGAAATTAAAATATAATACAATGCAATATTTTCAATGCAACAAGTGTTTTATATAATAAGTACAAAAAAGAATAACATAAGTATGTATTTCTTAATATTCTATATTTTAAGATAGTAAAAGCAAATTATTTTCTTACTCTCATTATATTCACATGCACTTATAAGAAGTATAATGTGTGACCCTCAAAAGAGCAGAAAAAGATATTGAAAGCTCAATATTTTAGTAACTGTTATGAAAACAATTTTAATATATCAAAGATTGTATAGTTCAGTAATATAATAATAAAGAAATGCCTATTTCGATCGAAATTGCTTTCCTATCTGTTGTCACGAGGTAAATATTTAAATCTCAATATGAAAATAGCAAAAAAACTATATTCGTACCATATAAACTGCGATCGAGAGTTTACGGTAAAAAATAAACGATGATGAGAAAAGGACTCTAAAAGTGTAAGTAAATACATCAAATACTTGAACATGTAAAACAAACAGAAAGCACAGTTAATGGAAATATTCTTAATTTCATTATTATGAAAAATAGATTACAAGCTAGATGAGTTTTACTACCTCTGTGCTTGATAGAACATTTATTAACTAAAAAATTAGCTTCCATCGTTTCAAATTCGATTTTACAATTTGGCTTCTCTGTGAAGCAATCATCATAACTATCGGATTAGTTCATATGCGATGAATCTATTCGCTGAATTAAAATGAACACTTTGTAGAAGATAAACATAAAAGCTGAAATCTAAACGTTGAACATCAAAAATAAAATTTTATACATGCAGTGGGGTTTTTATTCCTAGCAGAATCATTGGGTCTATTTTATATTATTGGTATAGTAATACATAAAAATATAAGACGTATACGTGTCATCGCTCGTTAAAGTGTCAAATAAAACTTTCAGCCACTTAGCAACAGAATGAATTTGTATTTGAATAGAACTAATAGATTTAAAATACATTTAGTTGTAATGCTTTTAAAAACTTAAAAGACATTAGTGAATTAGCAAGGCATTTGAGAAGAGTGAATGTTATACACGAAACTCTATACACATTACACTAGGTTTAATTGATTCTCATTGCATTTTTTATTCAATTTATTTTGAGTTTAACTTGAATAGCTGATGAGTGAATATGTTATATCAATATCGTTTATTCTACCACTCTACATCATAAACAACCAAGTACGTTCGAGTTTATTGGGTGAAAGTGAAAAAACCTTTTATTTACATCTTCTGAATTTTTTTTGTTGAGTTATTATTGATTCATGTTCATTCGAGAAGAATAGAATAGAGGAAAGAAAACGATTAATTACTGAATTCATGTGTTATATATAGACAAACTAATAGTAACGAAGAAAAATCGAACAATCACACACATTGTCATGATAGTATTCTTCAGATTTTGTTTACAGCTGTAGAACGTACATGCTGAATTTATATTCAATATAATATTTAATGAAAAAACAAAATTATATAAAACATTAGAACGATTATGACGTTACACGAAATGAGTGAAGTAGAGAAATCTGGTCATTATGCAGAACATAGGGAAGAGCTGCAACCGTTTAATTTTAAATATGATAAATTTACTAGCTAATATGATTTTCGTTTTTGTTAATCATTTATCGATCTAAACTAGATATATATTATCTATATATCTTCGTAGAATTATGTAATCAATTGATATCATCAAAAATGGAAACATATTCATGTGGATGTGAAGTTGACATTCAATCACGTGATTCTAATGTTGGTTTACAATTTCAATACTTATCAGAACAACAAAAATCAATGAGTAATTTGGAAACACTTATTATTGAAAGTAACTTTTTTAAATTCTATCTTCTATATATTTATTTGGCTCTATTCAATAGATATTCCTAATGAATATGATACATCTACAATAACAAAATTATCATTTCGACTGGGCGCGAGTAAGGGTGTAAATTAGAGTTAAATATAATACTTACACCGTCAGTGGTTTAATAAGAAGCAAGTAATATTTAACTAGATCGTGTGTTTTTGTATATTCTTATGATAAAAAAGCGATTTATGTTATATCGATAAATGATCGAAATATATGAATAGCATGCATGTATGCCGTATACAGAGAGATTACCAGAACTAATTATTGTGAAATTCATTTCCAATAAGATCTTGAAAATGAGTAGGTGGATGTGAGTAAGGCTAAATTGGCGCTTACACCCTCACTCACTCTTCATGGCAGAAGATCGCTATATGCTTCAAATTCAAGAAGAATGGATAAGGGATGGAGTCATTTATTGTATGTATTTAACTACACTGTAATTTCTTTATTTTCAAAACAAATTAGACTAAATATTGTCAAAATAAATATCGAAATGTTTTGATGCAAATTACAACTAGCTTGTTCTTTGTTTGGATAAGATGTAATTTAGCACGCATTACAGCTCTCTTGAGGAGTAACGATATCAGCGATGAATGAGACGGCTGCTGTTTGTGCGTAGATGGAACCATCATATATGATGCCATTTGAGAACTTGACGGATGCGTAAGCAAGAATATTTCCAACAAAATGACTGCTTAGCCCAAGTGTGGCGCTACTGCCTACTTGCCAGAAGACGCAACCGGCCTTGGCACCGTTTATTAATTGAATTTTACTACCAGTCGACGTCTTGAGCGCACTACCAACTTGAAATATGTAAGTACCAGTTCCGCTCAATGTTAAAACACCTGCGGGCGTATCGATTCCAGCGGCCGAGTTGAACTTGTACACTCCCGGTGCGAGTGTTTTTCCCGTCAGATCAACACCAGTCATTTGAGCAGTGGGTTTTGCATGTTTCAAGTAATTGTATGCTGAGGTGACGTCTTTTTGCGCTTGTAAAGCAATATCAGTACTCAATGTGGTGAAACCACTGATCGAACCAAATGGATAAAAGCCGGTCAAAGCGATGCTTGGACTCATAGCTACGTTGCCATTGATGACGGTGGATCCAGTACTACTTACCGAACTGGCAGCGATCACAGTAAACTGAGAAGCAGTACCTAAATTTGGACAATTTTTGGCATTCGTTGTAGCTACAGCCAAACAGAGAAGAACATGAAAAGTAACACTCAATGCCATTTTGTGTAGAAGGTTTTTTCTTGACGATAATGATATTAAAAAGTAAAATGTATACCTTATTTATAGACAGAATTTAGATTATTCATGACCATCGACTTTTCTAGTCGAACTATAAAAAATAGCAACTGAAATGGCGAGGCTCCGTGAAACCGTAAAAGACAACTAAAGGTTGATTAGAAAAAGTACTGATATGAAAACTTGACATTTATGATTCATATGATATGTTCGTCTTGAATACAATAACGTATGAGTTAACCTTCTATATTTTGGTCTCATATAATAAATAAAAAAGAAAGTAAGATCGCACTTCATATCTAATTTATACAGATTCTAGATTTGTAATAATAATCGGTTGATGGCATCCTTTTTATGATTGTATATCATCAAATTGATGTATGAATGTCGTACATCACAATAGCACGATTTCAAGACAGAAGGCGCTCGCAAGATGAGATTTTGATATTCGTAATGAACATGATTGATTGGCTTATTCTAGTAAAAATATCTGATTTTTCTTCTAAAATTCTAATATAAAAGTTACCATACATCGAACCGATAAAAAAGACGACTATTATTAAAGGGTGTCGTCTGTGTATTTTTACACTATGTACCGGCAGTGATCGATAGTAAGAACAAGACAAATAAACCAAATTCAAGCACCGTTTTCAAGGGTGTAGATGTAGCTGTAAGTGTTCGTGTAGGTATTTAATTCAGTATACACCCATAACCACATCCTCAAATAAATATAAAACCTATAGGTGTTATATGTTTATTTGTAATCAACACCCATATCCTAGTTGTTTTTTTTTCATTTTATTTTCTACTCTTTCAGCTTGTTTTCAATGATATCAAATAAGATAGAAAATTAATTTAACTTTTTCAAATGTGCATAGAGTAATTGTTTTTCTTTTTAAAATAAATAAATGTTTAAAAGTTATACAACTGTTCTATAAATTTGAAAAAAAGGATTTAAACAGTTTAAGCATTAGATGTATCTTTATCTAATGCAATATAAACTACTGCGCCTGATGGAACACTTGATGATCCTGGTAGGGCTGTATATGCATTGATACCGTGATAACCCGGTAACAATCCATTGCGATCATTAGATTCACCACTTACGAATCGACGATCTGAACGTTTCCATTCAACATTATAAATACTTATATCCATATTAATGAATATTTATAATGCAATAAGAAAATTAACAATAATTTTAACTCACCAATAATTAAAAAAACATAACCTCCAATTGATAATAAATAAAATTTCTGCCATTTTAATATTAATGAGGCAAGCCATATAATTAATATTCTACCATTATTAAATACCATACGTGTTGTTGATGATAATTCTTTTGTTATAGATATACCAGCAAAACTAAAAACTGCGATCAAAAAACCATTTCCTAAAAAAAGAACAACAAGATAAAATAGGAAGATCAAAATATATTCATACCAATTGTTGCAATAATAATTATATAATTATTCCACATTTGACAAAATGCTGATGGTACGTCTTCAAGACGTCGATCTGGTCCAGTGAATGATCCTGGCATGCGAATAAAATAACACTAATTTGAAATAAATAAATAATATTATAGAATCACTTTCCATTTCACTTACTGGAATAAGAAGAAAACCAAGTGTGAAAAAGCCAAATATTCCTTCCCAACCAACTGCTTGCAATGGTGGAATATTATATTTATTAATATAACGTTCTTCATATACTACCTAAACATAATAATATACCATGTGTATACGTTATTCTATTTTTTTACTTGTAAACTAGTGAACATCATTGCCAAAAGTATAAGACCAATACCAAGAAGTTTTTCACCATTTATAAGCTTATTGTGTGGTGTTTTATCAAAACAAAGATCGAGTAGACCAATAACAGCAAGACTACCAGCAACAATTCCAATACTAAGCCAATTGAAGATTGTTAATTTTTTTTAAGAAATAATATACTAAAAAAATCAAACATTTCGATTATATAATGTGTCTCGTATACACTTCTACCTTAATATAGCCGTAAAAACCATAACCGAACCTCTTAACATTCGATATAAACCAGCAGTTATAAGATTTAATGCAAAGTAAGATAAACATGTAGAAAGTATATCGCATACAGATGCTACCCAAAATATTAATGGATTAAATACTTGTTCACCTTGAACTAAACGTATGCCTTTTTTGATATTTATCGGCCATAAACGAACAAGTGCAGATGATGCATCACCTTTATATGTCATTTGATCAATACGATATCGAGCAGTGGAATACCAAACAAATTTAAATGCTAATAAACATAAAATTTCGCCCAAAAACATTGTAACAGCCTACATAAAAATCTTTTTTGTTATTATCTATTAAATAATATAAAAATTATTTACTTGAAAGAATGGATGCTCAAAGAATCCCATTTCGCCAGTTTCATTACAAAAATGTGCTTGTTGTCTAGAAACGATATGAATTGATTTGAATTTAACAATAAAATAGATCAATGATTTACATATCGGCCCATTTTATAAATAAAGTACTTATACTGCCAGTTATTAACATAAGACCAACAAGAAACATCTGATACAGTGTAAAACCCATGATAATCTTCCAAGATGTAATAGAAACAGTGAGGTATCTATATCAATAATTAAAATAGAAATGTTTCAATTCAGCTGGGAATAAACAACATTTTTCATATCTGTTTCTTTATCTAATCAAACCTCGCTGTCACCTTCACTTCTGTTAAACAAAATAACCGTAAAAAAAATGTCTTTGGACTTTTGTATTATGTACATAAATAATAAGTATCTTTTATTTTATATTGGCATTTGAACGAATATAAAGACGGGATTTACAATAACGCATGGGCAATAATATTAAGTATAACATTTTCTGAATTAACCTAACAACAACATAACATGTCCGTGTTAAGTAGTTTTTTTTTGTCATTTAATGTTTATTTCGTTTCTTGATAATGAGAAGAACTGTTTGGTGAAGCACCGAAATTTTATTTTAATGAATTATCCTTGAAAATCATGATTCTACAAATATTTGTTTCATGCTTTCATTTTTAACAAAAGAATTATATACCTCCACGCGCAAATAAAATTATTCGTAAGTTTATTTTGCTTTAGAAATAGATTTATGTATACCGCTATGAACATATAACTTCATATTGCACAAAACTGGAAATATGTTGAGGTGCTCACTTTCAGACATAACTGAAACAATTGCAAGAATATGTTTTAGAGACTTCAACTAATCAACCATAAAGTGAGGATATAATTCCGAAAGAAGAAGGTAAGACGTATAGGCATAAGCTTTATCTAATACTGAAGCAGTCTGACCACGATCGAAATCCTCATTAGACTTGAATGGTTGCATTCAATGTTTAGTTTTGGCATTACAATTATTCACCGAGACTGAAACAAGAACAAGTGGATTCTACATTTCTCGAGGGTGAGTTTGGGTGTGCGTGGTTGTGGATATGGGTAGCTATGAGTGTGGTTGTAGGTCTGCCTACTGTCTTTAACACATACACACTTCCAAGCAAGTTCTGGATCGTCTTTCGATACTACGAATCATATTCGTACATTTTCGACCGAGCTCCATCATTCCAAGAGCCTTCAAAACATACGCAACAAATCCAGAGTCTGTTGATTTCCCCTTGTAAAAAACGTGGACCTTAGATTATGATGTAGATGAAATGAAAAAAATAATATTGAGATAAGAAGGATGAGAATCTAAGAAAACTGAAGTGTGAAGCACAGCCTTGCACTATTATGGTCATATGTAAAATTTATTGTATTAAGATAAGAACATAACAACACCTTTGATGTTAGAGATAGTATTAATTATCTTCTGTTACTTACGTGAGAGTAATAGGCAAACAGAAAGTTGTTTCGAAGAATAGTGTATTCTTCTTTCTGCGTTTAAGTTTCATCTGAAAAATAATATGCACACCAACCAGGGAGTGGGTGGATGGATCTGAATATAAATAAAGAATAGATCTACGCCCTCATTTGAATCAATCCATTCATTAACAACTTGTATAGAAACTTCAATAAATGCCATTAATATCAATTGTATAACATTAACTTTTTCTAAAACTGTTCCCATGGATATCAACACACTAGCTGAAACAAAATCATCTGTTGATAAACTTTGTACATCAATTATAAATGTTTGTTCAGTAATATCCGAAATTAAATAAATACCCAGGGTACAATTGAAGCCTATACAAGTATGAATGCACACAGAATTAAATTAGATACAATAGCTGAAAATGAATATGAGTAGACATTGAATAATAAAATTCAACAAGATCTCGCGGTGGATCTTCTAAATCAGTTACATCTTTTGAAACAGGATATTATTTATAGTGAATATGGAAGCTAAAGAAAAATGTAAAAAGTATTTGTTAAAGAAATAAAATACTTAGAAATAGATAAGAACGATAATTAAACATTTTTATTTTATGATTAAAATATTTGAATAATAAGCTATGTATTTTCAAGGTTTCTTTTTTTTCAACTTCTTTAATTTCAAATATCTACGTATATAAGTAAGCACCCATAAATATTAGATGCACTTTAATAAGTAAAAGGTCAAATTTAACATGATTCTTCTTGAATAATCTCAAATCGATTTGATTCTGTAAGATATTCCAATGATATTTGTATATAATGTTTCTCATCAAACAAAAGACTTGAAGTGATTCCGTACGAACATATATTGTATTTGTAATATCAGTAAATATTTGTTTGATTATACATGTTTTTTTTAGTTGAAGCGATAGTAGAGGTCAATATTTAAAACTATTTAGCATAGATTATTTTGTTTCTAAAATCACAATGATTTTACTTTAATTTTTTTTATTTCTTTTAATAAACAATCAACACAAAAAACAATATTTAACGGATATAACATTCTATGTCCGTTGTTTTCCTTTATTATTCATTGATGATTTTTGTTGTTTATTTCCTTTATTATTCTTGGATGGTTTTTGTTGCTTACGACCTTTCCCCGTTGACTGTCTTGTTTTATTAAGTTTATTTTGTTTTTTCGTTGCACGTTTATCTTTCTTCAAACGTTTGTCAACAACTTTATAAGGTCCTTTAGCACCTGCTGGTCGAGAACCACCTCGCTGAGATTTTTTAGCAACAACATATTTAACATTGACTTGTTTCTGTCCAATAACACCATATTTTCGATAGAGACTAAATAAAACATAATTTCATTTATATAGAAATATTTGAATGAAAAATGAACTAACTCTTTAATTTGTTTATTTCGTTCTTTATTATCGAGATCAGCATTTTCAAGTAATGGTTCAGCTTTCTTTTTAACTTTTTCAAGTTTACGTATTTCCTTTTTAAAAATAAATTATATTCAATAATAAATTAAATTAATAATTAAACTTACACGTCGTTTCTTTCTTTGTTTAGCTTCAGTTACTTTTTTCGATGGTCGTTGATCGATTTCTCTCATTTTAGCTTTATATCTTTCAACAAGTTCTTTTGTAACTGGTAAACTTGCACGACAATGTTGTTTTTCTTCTTCAATAAACCATTTTGGTAAACCTTCCGAATCACCATAACCCATAAAACTAAAATAAAACTTTTTATTTTAAAAACTTTCTTTCAATTGAACAATTTTTTTCTACCGATTATAAGAACGATCAATTAATTGTTCTCGATTTTTTTTTGATTGAGACATCATATGACCTAATGCTAAATCATCTGCATCAAGATGGACACGTTTCATTGCTAGACAAAATAAAACATAGAAATAAAATAAACATGATCTTAAACATACGTTGATCAACAGGAACTTCTTCAAATTCATCATCATTTAATGCACGTTTCTTTTTTTTACGTCTGGTATCATCTTCAGATTCACTGGACTCATCATCATCGTCAACATCAATATCATTAAAAACACCTAAATATATTTACAACTAGATTTGATTATACAGTAAAATAAAAAAAAATATTTTACCTTTTCCGTTTTTGAGGATACTTTTCGATGCTTTTCCTAAAATAATAACAAATTTCAATATTTTTTTTATAAATAAATGCTATTTCACAATGAAAAAGTATCCATTGTGTCTAAAGACAATCGAACATATCTCAGTCAAACATGGTGAGACTATCTTTCATTGTCGATCTGAAAAACGAAATAAAAATTTTAAATTCCTTACCAAGAATTGGTATTCCATCTGATTTAAGTGAATTTAATTTTCTTTCAAGTTCAAACTCTTCATCATCATTATCATCTTGTGTAGTTTGTTTAAATATATCTTGTTCAAACCAAACATCAGCAACTGTTTTTGCTTTCGCTGATTTTGTTGATGCATCGATAATGTCCATATCAAGTGGATTTTCTTCTTCGTCATCTTCCCATTGATTATTATCATTATCGTCATTGTCTGATTCATCCTCACCATCATCGTCATACCTAAAAAAATCGAATTGTACATTATTCTAAGAAAATTTCCAATATATAATCTAACAAACCTATCGAGTTTAACTTGACGTCGTTCAGAATCATATGGCATAGCATCATCATCATCTTCATCTTCATCATCCTCATCATCAAGATATTGTTTATAAATATCAATTGATGACAAATCACCTTTATCTTTATCATAAGATACTCGAGGTATTCGATTTTTGTCTTGACCTAAATATACATCATCATCTTCATTGACTGTATGATCAATATTCAAATTAATATCAGGTAAAGCGGATGAAATTTCAAGTAATTGCTAAAACAAAACAGAAAAAAATTATAATTGAAATTAATATATTAAAACAAACTTTTTTTGTTTTGATTTTTTCTAAATCAAATAAACCTTGATCATTTTTTCCACCTTCTGCTGTTTCATGATCATGAATATCACCGGGTAAAATCATTTTAAGTGCAAGACGATCACGTATTTTTCGTTTTTCTTTCATAACATGTTTACGTTTTCTATTGAAGAGAAGAAAAAAATGTCTATTTGATTGAAAAAAGAAATCTAGAAAAACCTTTTTGCTTCTTTTCGTTGTTGTTCAGTAAGTTTAAGTAATTGTTCTTCAATATCAGCATCATCTTCATCATCCTCATCTTTTTCAACTTTTTCTTCCGTTTTTTCTTCAGTTTTATTTTCTTCAGTTGATGGGTCAATACGAGGAAGAGTATTTTTAAAAATTGATGCAGCTAAATGTCGACGCCAAGCAAGAATTAAACTAAATAAAAAATACAAGTTTTATTTTTTCTTCCTAGAATTCTATTTTAACTTACGTTATTTCTCGTCGACCAAGAACTTTAATATCTTTAATACATGCTTCTAATTCAGATGTTGTTTTAGGATGTTGACGTATTCGGTCATCATCGATAACAATCTAACAAAATAATTTAGTTTTATTCAATCGAGAAAACCTTTCGCTTACTTCATTAGCAGTAGCTAATAGATCAAGAAAATTGTCACCTTCAATAAATTTTGTTGCATTTAATTTATGATATAATGTATAATCTCCTTCAGGATAACCTTCTCGACTTCTGAAATAATAAAATTCTTTTTTTTATTAAAAAAATTATTTAAATAAAACAAACCGAACAAATTTTTCTGGATGTTTTAATCGTAATTTTGCTTTATTTTGTGCGTCAACTGCATCATTTTCAACATCAGTAAAAACATGTTTATAATCAAGAAATTTTGGATCGATTTTATCTGGTGCTAAATATCCACTACATATAACGAAAATTTCAGCAGATTCATTACGTGATGCCTAATAAATATCTATATATAATATGAATAAATAAATAAATAAAAATCTCAACCTGAGGTTTTGTTGAATCAACACGTTTAAACATTTGTTGAAAAACCCATAATAATGAATAATAATCTTTAGAACGAAACATTTTGGTAACAAATGTTCCACCTTTACGTAAAAATTCTGTTGCTAATTTAAGTGCACTTAATGTTAAAACATCTAAGAATAAATTCATAATTATTGTTTTCTATTTCAAATTAAAATAAAAGAAATTCATACTCTGTTGATATGCATCATGTATCCAACTTTTTCCCACATTAGGAGCACCATCATGAAGAATAACATCAGCTTTAAATGTTCCTAAATCTTTTTTTAAAAGCTAAAAATAATTTAAATTAATTATTATAAAAGAAAAAAACAATATATATATATTTACTTGTCGACATTTTTCAGATGTAATATCTTCTTGATAAGTAATTGTATGTGGTATTGGTTTTATTGGCGCTAAATCAACACCTAAAAACAAAAGAAGAAGAAGTTAAACATAAATAATTAAATATGATTTTTTACCAATAATTAAACTAGATATTGGCATATGTTTCTCAGCAACTTGTAACCAACCACCGGGTGCTGCACAGAGATCAATAAGAACACGAGCATTTTCGAGAAAACGATGTTCACGATTTAATTGTAATAATTTGAATGCAGCACGAGATCGAAAACCTAATTATGATAAGAAAAATATAATTTTTTTGATATAGTATAAAATAATATCATACCTGATTCTTTAGCTAAATGGTAAAATTTATCTTTACGAAGTTTTCCGGTTTTTGCTTTTTTGCCCATGTTTATCTGAAAAAGATAATTATATATTAAGAATAAACCCGAAATTTTTTACTAAAATTCATTCAATATCGTATCTTCATCGATTCACGAACTACATGCAATAATATTATGTACTTAAATCAACCATACAATAAGAAGAAGAATTAAATATATGTATACATACGACATCTATATAAAAACTATTAACTTGTATTAAAATCATTTTTTTATATATTTTATTAATAAAATTCAATTTTTTTATTATTTTTCTTTTTTTTCTAACAATCAATTTAATCCGCCATGGATTCGTCCAATGTCCTTCGATTTTTTTACGTTCTCAAATTTAATATGTTCGTCTCGTCAGGGTCAATAACATAAATACACATATATTAATATATTATTTTCTAGATATTTCTATTTCCATTTAATAATTTCGAAAATGAGCAAACAAGGCGCAAATTTTGGTGGCACTGTTGGCTGGGATCAACAAACAGTTATTGGTAAACGTGCACCACGACCTGGAGAATTAAAAAGTGAATCAGCTATAAATGCTGCTCAACGTGCTGGTGTTGCTATTGATACATCAAAAAAATTTGCTGCTGGACATAATCAACAACATCAATCAGCAAAAAATACTGCTATCTTAGATCGTGAAACTGAAGAATTACATCATGATAGAGTTAATAAAGATGTTGCTAAGGTTATACAACAAGCGCGAGTTGCTAAAGAATGGACACAAGCTGATTTAGCAAGAAATATTAATGAAAAACAACAAGTTATTAATGAATATGAACAATCAAAAGCAATTCCAAATCAACAAGTTTTAAGTAAAATGGAACGTGCTTTAGGTGTTAAATTACGTGGAAAAGATATTGGCGAACCACTTGCTGGACCAAAAAAGAAATAAATGAATTGAATTAAATTGAATTGAAACAAAAAAAAACAAGACTCTTTTTTTTTTCTTTTGGTTTATCTTGTATATTTATCCATTTTGTTTGCCAAGTTATACTAACATTTTCTTTTTCTTTTCGTATATTATTAAAGCTTAAAAGAAAGAAAAAAAACTATTAGAAAGAAAACTAAAATTCTATTATTGATTGAATTAAAATCAAGCTTATAATAGCGAATAATAGTCGACTAAATAAAGACATTCTTACTATTTGTAGATGTATCAATTAAATAGATTTGTTTAGTTTTATTTATTCATTCGACAATATACTCAATCTAAGGCATGTTTTCTTTTTTTTGTTTAGTATATATATCAACTATATATAATTTGAATTTCTTCTAGTTTTTCTTTATTTTGAAAAGAAAAAACAATGTCAACAATGGATCAAGCCGATGATTTAAAAGCATTTGAACGTCGTATGATCGAAATTGTTTCTTCACTTCAACCATCAATATGGCGTTGGCGTGTAATATTATTTATACTTGTCGTAGTTACATTGGTTACATGTTATGCATTAATTACTGATGATAATTCAACAAAATCATCTTCAGTCAATAAATCTAGTGATAATTCCTTTTTATCTACATTATATTCACATCTTTTACGTAAACAAGTTTATTTTTCTATATCATTTTCCTTGCTTATATTTGCATTTTTATTTGGTATACATCGTAAAATGTTTTCATCATCAATAATTATTGCAAGATTTCGTTATATACTTGCTGATTATAATATGTCATGTGATTCTGATGGACGATTAATATTAAGACCACGACCAACATCATCTTATCTAACTGGATGATCCTCCTCTGATAGTTTTTTCTTTATGTTGTATTATAAAATAAATAAAAAGAAAAAAATCCTTTTGTTTTTTTTCCTTTTTTCTTTTGGTCGAAATGTAAGAAAGAAATTATTTCGATTCATATGATTGTTTTTTTTAGCATGAGTACAGAAATAAATACACCTCCTCCGTCTTCTGCGGCTGCAACAACATCATCAACTACACAACAATTACAACGTAGATTACAAAAAATTCTTGATTTAAAATTAGAATCTGATAAAGATTTAATTGAATCATTAAAATATTTGTCAACTTTTTTCAATGAAAATAGTGTACGAACAAGACGTTCATTGAGAAGTACAATTGAAAAACGAAGTTTAACATTAAATGATCAATTTGAAGAATGTTTTCGTGTTGTTAAACAACAACTAGATCAATTAAATGGTACAATTACATCGATGTCAACTTGTTGTGAAGATATGACACAACGATTAAAAGTATGTCAAATTAAATATTATTAAAAGAATTTCTTTTTTTTTTGTATTAGAATGTTAAAGCACAAACACAGGAATTGATTAATAAAACAACACAAATACAAAATGAAAAGTAAAATAAGATTTTAATCGAAAATTGTATAGTAAAAAATAAATTTATTTTCTAGTCAAGAATTGAATATAAAATCTCGTATAACTGAAGGATTTATTGAACGATTTCAATTGAAACCAGACGAATTAAATGCTTTAAGAACAACACGTGATGGATTTTTACATCCGGTAAATAAAAATTAATTTTTTAGAACTAGGAAAGAATAAAGTTTGTTGAAAGATCTAATCTCACAAGACTTAAGCTTTGCAATTTGATACTTACATCGAGTAATTAAGGATTAATAATGAGTGTGAGTGGTAAAATCATTTTTCTGTATCTATCTGTACTTGAAAACATTCCAAAAAGTCTATTTTTATCAACACAAGTAACGCTCGTCTGTAGATTTGCTCAACTCCTTCTCGTAGAAATCGCATTACTAAACAACTACCAAGCTATTCATTCATATAATCAGACAAAATAGAAGTCAGGTTTGAATTCTTTGGCTTCGATCAATCCTTATAAAAAAATTCTTTTATATCTTTACTTAATTTTTCGACTAATCATTGAAGTTCGGACATACAATCAATCAGACAATTTATGTTTACTGGACTCTTCTCTACGAGAAAGATAATGAAAACAAAAGTATCAATTACTACAGTCTGATATACTCTTGTTTTAAATAAGGAGAAATATTAATATATACAATGATAATCCACTGAGAATTTTTAGCTGTCAAGAAATCAGATTATTATTCTTGTTCGATGAATATAGTTTAAGAATATTATATGATAAAACTAATTATTTTACCATAATATATTCGTTTTTATATACTTACAAAAGATTTGTTTAATTCATATAAACTACTTTTTTTTATAGCAATTTTTCAATGTTTTAAAACGTGTTAAATCAATTCATCAAGATTGTAAATTATTATTACGAACAAATCAACAAACAATTGGTTTAGAAATCATGGAACAAATGGCACTTCATCAAGAATCAGCATATGAAAGATTATATCGATGGTTACAAAGTAAATTCATATATATATATCTTTAGTTCAATTTAATTATTTTTTCTTTCATTTATAAATAAATAGGTGAATGTCGACTTTTAACAGCAGAATCACCAGAAATATCAATATTAATTAGTGAAGCACTTGAAGGATTAAAAGAAAGACAAGTTCTATTTAAGTAAATATTGCAAAAGCATACGAAATAAAAACACTACTATTTATTTTCTTAGATATGTTCTTGATGAATATGGTACTGCTCGTCGTAATGCACTTGTTCGTGGTTTTATTGAAGCTTTAACTCGTGGTGGTCCAGGCGGTATGCCTCGTCCAATTGAATTATCTTCGCACGATCCACTACGCTATGTTGGTGATATGCTTGCATGGACACATCAAGCAACAGCATCTGAAAAAGAATATGGTGAAATTTTATTAAGAAAATTTAAAGGTTGGAATGAATTACAGAAAACAATTCAAACATTATTAGGATTTATTACTGAAGGTTTATGTCGGTTAGTTAAAATATTTGAATTTTTGATTAAAGTTAAATCAAATTATTTCTAGACCATTACGTGTTCGTCTTGAACAAGTACTTGTTTCTCAACATGAACCAGTTACACTCTATAAATTAACAAATTTACTTAAATTTTATGAAACAACTATAAAACAATTATTACCAATTGAATGTCAATTGGCACTTGTACTCGATGAAGTTAGTCATTTATCATCAAAAATGTTCTTAAATGCGTATGTTAAATTTCATTTATTTAATCAAAAAACTATTTTTTTCTTTTCTCATAGATTAAATGCAACAGCTACACGTTTAATTGAAAAAGTTGATATGCCAACAAATGATTTAAATTTATCTGATGAATTACGACGTACATTAGCATTATTACGTGATATACTTGAAACACATTCAACATCAATGATACCATTCGAATCAAAACGTGTTGATTTTCAACAAATTGTATATTCAATTATTGATCCATTACTTCAAATGTGTTCATTATCAGCAGCGAAATTAGGTGTTATTGAAATGGCAGTTTATTTAGTTAATTGCGTTAGTGCAATAAGAGCAACACTTGCTGTTTTTGCATTTACAGATGAAAAAATTGAAATGCTCGAAGGACAAGTATGTAAAGAAAACCGGTCATATACTTAAAAAGATATACCCAAATATTGATAGAGTAATCTTAATCTTATCTCTAAGTGATTACTATTCAAAGCTAAAATCAATATTGGTGTATATTTTTACATATAATATTTTTGTTATTTAGATTGATGCAAATACTGATACATTAATTGGTGAACAAGCAACTTATATTTTATTACGAACTGATTTATTAGATGCTTATCGTATTGTTGAAAAACAACAACAAGAATCAAATACAAGTACAGGTGCATTAGCACTTAAACCAAGCATGGATACTATTACATTAAAAGCCGCTATGGTAAATTTTGAAAACAAAATAATTCATATCAATATTGTATTTTAATCAAAAAATTCTAGGTTAAATTTGATTCGTATTTGGCATCACCGGATCTTTATATTATGCCTCAACTGAAATATTTAACAAGTGCTGTGATTCGGTGAGAAAATATTTTCTTTTATATATATACCAATTTTCTTTTATTTTAGAGAAAAAATAAAAAAACGTTCGGTTGAATTAATATGTTCAGCATATACTAGTCTTTATTCAGCAATAATGGATCCAAAAAATACCTATGCAAATCCATATTCAATAATGCCACATACACCTGAACAAATAGTTAAATTACTTTCTTAATCTTTATTTATTTTAATCAGTGATATTTATAATAAAAAAACAAAAACATACTTTGTTTTGCGTATGAACATTAATTTAAAAAATTTCTTAGATCTGTATGTGAAAATTTTATTGAATAAAATAAATTCTCTATTGATATTTTATCGGGTGATAAGCATAAAAAGACTTACTATCTCTTCGTCAATAAAACATTCGGGAATGGAAATTCATGGTTTTCTATTTGAGAATTTCGTATTTGAAATATCTCCTCTTTTGTTCGTTTATTAATATAAAAACATTGTTCTTATACATAGACTACCGTACAAAACGAAACTGACTAAAATATAACTAAATAATGAAATAAATCATCTAATAAATTTATGATCTTGTTTATCGCATTGAGTTTTTATTAAACATAATTCATCTTCGAGTAAACGAATTCGATGATCTTTTATAAATATAAGTTCACGTAATGATTCAATTTCTTCTTGTTGTTTAAGATATTCATGACGATACTAGAGAAGAAGAAAAAGAATTAAAACAAAAAAATATTCGTCTACTAACATCAACTCCATATATTTCATTCGGAATAGATGAATAATATTCGTTTGTATCGATGTTCATAACTTTTTTCTTCATTTCAAAATTATGTTGAATTAATTGTGTTGAATTTTGCAATTTATCTCTTAAAAAACGAAATTATATTAAATTTTAATTGTGTACAAGAAAATAAAACATATATTCATACCGAATATTATTCAATTCTGTATCTGTTGTATTTACTGATTCAGTTTTTCTTAAATTTTGATGACCTGTTTGTTGTTGTATGTCATCAGATGATTGATTATTTGCATTATGTTTCGGGATAGGTGCAACTTCTGCTATAGGTAATTGACTAATTCTTTGTGATGTTCCACGATGTGAAAAAGTAGATATAGAATCATATGTTCGATATGTAGTTATTTGAGGCATATTTGATTCATCTTGAAAATTTTTCATTGAGACAAGTATTGGATCACGATCAATACCAGATGTCCATTCGTCTGGTGATAAAGCAGGGTATGAACCAGAAGTATCCGGATAGATATCAAATTGAAATGTTTCAGCTCGTCTTGGAACTTAAGAAAAGAAAAAAATAAATTTCTTTTTCTATTAAATCATTTGTCAATAGTAGAAAAAATATAATAAAATTAACATATTGTCAGCATCAATAATCAACCTCGAGTTGATTTTCTTTTATAAATAAAGAAAAAAGAAGTATTATACAAAATACAAACCAATCATAGATATAGGTTCACACATAGATCCAGTTGCGAATAATTTATAAAATCTCATGATTTCATTTCGAGTTACATCAAGACCAGTTTTTGGCATTATACCTTAATAGAAAAATTTATTTAGAAAAAACACAAAGCTAACAAAATAAATGTACCAAGACATCTTTGTGGTGTTGTTGATTTATATTCCGAAAGAAAATATAAATACGGTTCACCTTGATCAGTTAATTCATAATATCGAATATTTCCATCACCCTTTACATTATATAATTATATTAAATTAATTTATAAAAAGAAAAGAAATTTCTTACTTTTCCAGCTAAATAAACTGTTCGTGTATCATGATCATAAAATGGAATAAGAGCACCGGCACCAAAATCGATTGTTTCAATTGTTAATGCTTTTGATAAATCATTCTAAATGAATAAATAGAAGAAAAATACTTTTTTCTTAAATGCTTTTAGAGTTTAAAATCATACAGCATTCCATACGGCTACTTGTCTTTCAAATTGTTTGCCAAAACCTGTTGATAGAAGACGATTTGTATCGCCTAAAAACACAACTTTTGATACTTTTGGACCTGGATGACCAATTCCTTTCTATAAATATCGAAATAAAATCTTGATTATAAATAAATAAATTTCGTTTTATTACAGCAATAATTTGGCCTGTACGAGCTTCAATAACACGTATCTGTTTATCTTTACAAGTCGTTGCAAATAGTGTGCCATTACGATTCCATGTAACTGATTGTATAACATCTGGATGACAACGATAAATTTGTATAGGTTCAGCTCTTTCAACATTCCATAAAATAACTTGATGATCAGAACCAGCACTTAATATAAGATTTTCAGCTGTTGGATGCCATTCAATATAATCAACACGTCTTTGATGTCCATGTAAATCAACTTTCCATTGAAATATATCAGTATTTAAACCATCATTGGGTATAGACCATACTTTAACTGTTCCATCATCTGAACATGAAGCTATTTCATGATCATTAAATGGATTAAATTTAAGATCAACAACAGGTGCACGATGACCTCTTATACGTGGATGATCAACGTCGATACGACCCACCTAAATAATATATACATATTTTAATAGCAAAAAAACAAAATAAAGTCTACAAACCTCTGAAAGAAGTAAAACAAGAAAACTTCCACCACCTGATGTTTCAGTTACAATTGCTAAAAATTTCGAATTAACAGCACAAAAACTACCATCATGTGCATTACGTGTTATAGAAATATTTTTATAACAATCTTGTTCACGATATGGTGAACCATATACATGACGAAATTTTGAAATACGAACTTTGAATGGCATCTAAACGATACGCATATATATATATATTTATTGATAGAATAAAAAAAAGTGATTGTTCTTTCTTAGTAGTAGTTCTATACGAGAATAAATATGAGACAAGTATTCATTTTTTTATGTCAAAATGATTGCATTTCCTCCACTCACGTTGTCGTTTTTCTTTTTTTTTTATTCTTCGACAATTTTTTTTTCATCCACACGCACACATAGATGTGCATGTCCTTAGTGTATATACTATGTATACTAATCTGTCATGAAGCTTGCGGAAGCTTCGAAGACATCGTTCAACATTAGATGATTCATTGTGAATGATATACAGGAAAAGAGAGAGAGAGAGAGAGAGAAGTTTCTGTTATATACTCATCTATGTATTAAGAAAAATAAATGTTCTATTTCGATTAGGCGATATAAATCTTACCCTGTGATTAATTCAATATTAGAATAGACATGATAGAGTGAAAAAGAGAGAGTTCAATCACTCTTATCAATACATAAAGAATATGAAATAGTCTTTTAGTGAGTACTGATATTATAATGAATATTTAATATTTATATAAGATTTTTATTTGAACTCACAAAACTTCTTATGGTATCATGAAACTTTAATTCCTCTTCAACATATAACTACGATCACTTTAATAGAAACATCGAATGAGATTTTTTTTTTGTCCTTCTCTCGTTTTCATAATGCAATACATTTAGGTCAAACAATCATATACAAAAGAGAAAAAAAAATGAATAATGAAAGAATAGAGATGAAGAGAACAATAGACGTGACACTAAGAACATATACGCAAAAAAAAGGGAATTCAGCTTTCTCTCATTTATATTTTAACACTGACAAACGGTAACAATAGATCTCCTGTTCGACATATCCTTTCATTAATTCACGATTAATCTTTTTTTTTTCTTTTTCTCAAAATATGAGCATTCACATAATTTTTATATATATATTTGTCATTAAATGATTAGAAAAGAAATTCTTTCTATTGATATTTTATTTCATTATTAAAAACTGTTGATGCATATGATTTAATCATCATAAATCTGTATATATATATAAACTTTTCTCACCTGATCTGCTTCATCTAAAAAATCCATTTCAAAAATAATTGTATATGTATTTTATTGTCAAGTACAGTGTTTTGTTTTATCTTATTTCTAAAGACGAAACAGATATTCTCTACGACGTGTTAGCATTTTGTTTGTACGAAAATTTTTCTCCTCTTCTCATATCAATGTCGATAAGCATAGTTAGTGATAACATAGAAATGAATTAGTATAAATACAAACGAAAGAATAATAAAAACAGCTGTTAAAAGAATTACTATGGAATAAATGTTAGAAAAGAAAATAATATCATTGAAGTAAGTAATAAGAGAAACATGTTTAATAAATAAAATAAAAACAATATTATATATACTTGATAGTCCTTTTTTTGAAATATATCAGCTTCGATTAAATCAATATGCTTCTAGACTTGTTAAGTTTGTTTAATAGTAATTTATAAATACATACAATAAACTTAACCTTTGAAACATTGTCTATCATGGTCTCGAGTACTTCACTAGTGCAAGGTGTCTATTATGGTTTGTGATATGACGTTTCGTAAAGGTGATTGTCATGGTCTGTAACGCTCTTTATATGATGTCCGTCACGGTCTTTACTTGATATGTGTAAGGGCCTATATATGAAGCAACACATTTCTTCTATTATACTTCCGTACTTCTTTTAGTTCACAACTCATAAACGCAACTCTTTATTTTTTTTTCTCATATATAGATTTTTTGCCGATAAATATATCACTTGACCCTTTCCGTTTCCTTCTTATGTAGAATATTAGATATATTTGTATGAGATCATTTCATTACTAGATATGGTTTAGTTAATGAAGATAATAATGATTCGATGGATATTCTTACTTGATATTGTCTGTTTATTAATAAATACGAATATTTTACAAGATTTTTATTCGATATAATATCTGCAGAGGAAACATTATCTATATGTTTAGTTAATACACAAGGGCGAAGCTGAACGTCCTATCGAAGTAATGCAACATTAAAAAAAAAGAATACAATAGCAAATGTGCTAAAAGCATATCATTTCCTGACTACATCATTTTTCATTGTTCGAATCTGGAAAGAGAAATAGACATATCATCAAGTATTCTTAATTGACATTTTCTAATGTAGGATTTAGACAAATAAAAAATTCATTGCATATCAATGGATAAAAAAAGCAATTCACAATATAAAATCCAAGGATTTACTAGAGATGATAGTTTATGCCTTTTTTCAAATAATATTTTACATTATCAAAATAGAATCAATCATTATTTATTGAAAATCACTATTATCATATGATGCATGTATATTCTATATTAATAATATTATTGTATTAAAGTTTTCATAAAGACATCTCCTGTACAGATTGTTGATTAAATAAAATTAATTGATTTTTTTTAAATTGTAGAATAACTTAAGTAGAGAGTCAAGGACTTCTATTGAATAAATATATACATTGGTAACACTATTATTTCTAAATTATGTGTAAAACTACTGGGAAAACTTTATAGATCTAATCAATTCATTACAATCAAGAAATATAAGACATCATCATATTGTTTCAACTCAATTAGTTAAATTAGATATAAATAACAAAACAAAAATCTCACTTCGGTTTTCTTAAAAAAATATTTTTTTATCTTCGAAAATGATTATAGTAATTAATACAAATAGATTAGATTTAATAACATGCTGTATGAATATTAGCTAATCATCCTTATAAATAACACTTTCATAGATATCAATTATGTTATATAATTAAAATGTATAGATCATCGGCTATGATAATGAATGAAAGAAACAGCTAGTTTTAAGTATCTCTCAAATTGATCATTAATTTAGTTTCTTTAATTTTCTTGAAAGTGTAGTTTGTAATGAAACGCATGCTAACTAATAATTATTATTGTTCGCAATTCTATACTTTTTTTTATACAAGTCTAATCTTTGAGATATAGTTTTTTCGTAAGCTAAAACTATTTTCAGGAACAAGAACAATTGTCATGACTCATAAGTAAGTTAGAATACAAGAAATTAGATTCTGTAATTTATGCAATCATTAGTTTCAATGATGTTCCATTTGACAAGGACATGGAGCATCATACGTTGATGTTGAAAAGCGTTTTTTCATTCTATCAAACACGCGAAGAGTAGGAAGAATAAGATAGATTATTCTCATTCAATTAATTATTTTGTTCTCGTCATTTTTTGTTAATAAAGCCTCTCTCTAACTAAGCTACTCAACAAACTCTCTTTGTTAAAATAATCAAGGAATAAATCATCATATATATATAGGACGCATCGGATTAAATAGAACAATCCACATTACTGAGAATTCGAATTATATTTATATACAATTATTATTTATTAAATTCATTATTTTGATTTACAAATATTTTTCAATCTATCAATATAGCGTTGTTCATCTTCTGGACTAAATACATCAAATACCACTAAAGACAGTTTTGAATTTGGAGATCGATGTTGAAACCAATTTATTACAGTTTCTATTGCTATTTGACATGCATGATCAGCTGGAAAAGCAAATATTCCAGTTGAAATACAAGAAAATGCGATAGATGTTATAGTATCTATTTCTGCTGCTAAATTTAAACAAGATTCATAACAAGATGCTAAATGTTGAGCGTCTTTTTCTGTAACACGAGCTCCATGATTTAACTGAGGACCAACTGTATGTATAACATATTTCGAAGGAAGATTATAACCAAGAGTAATTTTTGCCTGACCAACAGGTTCTGATTGTCTTTGCTCTTGCATGATTGTATAACAATCATCTCTTAAACGTGGACCAGCAGCTGCATGAATGACATTATCAATACATAAATGTGTTGGTTGAAAACAACCAAGAAGACCACTATTTGCTGCATTAACAATAGCATCAACAAATAAAGTTGTAATATCACCACGCCATACGCGAATATATGGTAATGATTTAAATTTTATAGATAAATTCATAGCTTGTGTATGTGGTTTCTTATAATCTCGTTCATACGAAAGTATTTGATCAATTAAATTATAGATATGAGTTGAATAGCGACCATCATCTGATGAAGGATCACGAATTGTAAGTATACGACGAATAAAAGCTCTCTGATCTTTAATGGAATGACGAGAATATTGACTATTAGGTCCATTAAAATATTCAGTAAGTTCACGAATAATACCATCATAATTAATTTTTTTATTTGCAGCTTGGAATGCTATTGGTAGAAGATTAATTAATGATGAATAATCTTTCAATGTTAATACGCGAGACATGAATTAGTTTATATCTATAAAAATTTATGCTATTAGTAATGATATAGAAAGTTTTTTTGTTGTATGTAAAAAGATGTTATATCGGCTTACCAGAGCAAATAAAGAATAGAATACTTGCATAAAACACATTTGTTGTTTGTCGCTAACAACATTTTGATAACAAATACAAGAGAAAAGAAATGCTGAGTCATTTAATCTAAGACATATATTATTGGAAGAAGATTCTAACTAATCCTTCGACTTTATATTTCAAGTATTTAAATATAAAAGTGAATGTTTATAATAGATATATTTCAACGGTTTTCTTCATCTTGAAACAATAATTACTGAGAAAGACACTAAAAGAAATTTGAGGAAGATCTAGATGAATAAATAGATTTATGGCTAATGACGTCGGCAGATGATCAATCAGAACAAAAATATCAGCTATTCAAATCATTGTTCAAAATAAATGAATTGTGAAAACAAAAAAAAGTAGTTATCTCTAAAATAAGCACTCGTAATTTTAATAATATCTATTTTACTCAGTAAGGTCATTTTGATGAACGTCAATTTAATAATCGTAAAGAAAAAAGTAAAAGTAAAAAATGAACTACTGAATAGTCTAAGCAATAGTTACTTTTAAAATAATCGATTTATGAAGATTATTATAAAGAATGAAATATTTTAATAGGATCTCGTGTGTTTGAAAATTCACAATAAGCGCCATCTAGGAGATTCTTTATAATATAATATTTCATTTGATAGAGGTGTTTCGATGTTCAATAAAGTTGAAATGGTAACTAAAATCAGGACAGTTTCGAGGATTCTTTATTGATTTGTATTTTTCTAATCTAAAGTGATGGGTCCGAAAAAAGTTGACAATATAAATAAAATTCATAGAGCATCACAAGCTTCTTTAAATATAACAGTAGATCCAGGTAATTAATTTTCAATTTTAATTTTGATTTTATTTATATTAAAAATTTCTGTATAGAAAATCATCATTGTACTGGTAAATTCGCTGCTGATTTAGAACTTTATTGTCGTGAATCGTCTTCTACTTATCCAATAAATATTCCGGTGTATATTCGTAGTCATCCACCATCATCGTCATCATTACAACAATTAGGTACACATTCTGGAGCATCAATTCCACCATCATTAATTGCTGGTGAAGAATATGTACCATCATCAATGAAACTTCCATCCGGTGGACGAATTCCATCTCATAGTCAAACTGGAACTTTAACTGGTATTGATAATGATAACAAATCAGTTAGTATTTTAGGTAAATAAAATAAAAACATATCAATCAAATAAAATTTTGAAATATATTATAGGATATGAATCATTAAAATCATCTTCATCATCTTATAAAACATTTCATGTTGTTTCTAATAGTGATTTCTATCGTCCGAAATTATTAGTAGATTCAATTGGTAATGAAAATGAATCCATCGATCAAATAAAAGCTTTATATATGAGAGGTATCTATTTATTTCATCTTCTAAAATACATTCATTCTTTTAGCATGGCAACTTGATCAACGTTTTATTGAAGTCTTAAAAAAAGTTCTTCCATTACAAGAACAATTGCATACTCTTAAGTAATATTTTATTTATTGTATATCGTTGCTCATGTTTTTTTGTATTATAAATAGTTTTTGTTTTGTTGGCTTGAGTGAACAAACTATTTATGAATTTGCTGAAGTTTGTCAATTAATTAAAAATTTAAAGTAAAAAAAAATAAGATTTCAAATTTTCAAACTTTTCTGTGTTTTTTTCTATATAGAACTGTTTCATTAGATGGGAACCCATTAGCAGCAGAATATTTTCATATATTAATTGAAAAATTTGATTCAAAGTAAAATTTTTCTAACCCAATATAAATAATTATTTAATGTAAAATAGAATTGTTCATCTTTCTCTTCGTTTTTGTAAAATTACTGATACCGGTGCTGAACGTCTTGCCAATGCACTTGGTAATATGTCAAGTCAAAATTGGAAATTATTAACATTAACATTAACCGGTAATCAAATTGGTGATAATGGTGCAAAATCATTCGCAAATGTAAAATTAAGAATTATTTTATATATATCAGCGTCTAAACTAAGATTACGTCCAATGTCGGATTGAGAAAAAAAACTTGGATTAGTTTCGAGATCGACGTCATATTCGAATTCTTATTAGTAAACTGTATTGAGACTAGAGAACGAAAACGAACCAGTAGAATATGAATGTGATATCGATTTAGTAAGAAATGATAGTTTTTTTTCTCAATCCGTAATCTTAGTTTGTATGTTGACATATATATATAACTAAAGAATTTCATTCATTTAAGGCATTACGTTATAATCGAACATTAATATCCCTTAATCTTTCATCGAATTTTATTACTGATGTTGGTGCTTGTACTTTAGCATTAGTAAGTTATTTTCTTAAATTTAAATTTTTGAAAAAAAATATATCAAATAAATCATAATCATATATATTTAGATTAAAATAGGGTAGGTTTTATATGTATATATTGTTTCCCCTCACTAATCTATTATTTGAATTTTGTTTGATAGAAAATTGTTGATATTGTATCAGATATAGTCGAAAAAGAATTTCTAAATGAAATATTTTATAGGTTTTGAGAAAAATTGTTTTAACACAAGAAGAAATTGTTCGACGTAGATATTTATTATCTGAACGTTTTGGTGAAATAAATGGAAATGAATTGCGAATTTATGTAAAAATTTATATTGATTTAAATTAAGAAAATAAATATGTTGTTTTTTTGCAAAGGCTTTATCACCAACTCCTTCGACAACATCAACAAAAAGTCGATCAGCTCGTGATACAAAGCGTACATTAGAAACGAATAAAAATCGAAAAACAATTTCAACAAAATCTACAGTAAATATCTATAATTCATCTTGATATTTAATATTTTTGTTCTGGTATTCAAGGAAAAACGTCATCGAATTGGTTCTGGTGGTAAAATAGTTTTTAGTAATTGTATATTAATGGAATTCATTATTTTTTTGTTTAAGATGATAATCATTCACCATCGACAAGTAAAAGTGATCAAAAGAAAGGAAAAAATGAAAATACAAATGCTCGATCAACATCAAATAATTCTGGTATATAAAATAGATTTTTTCTATTTAGAAAAATATGATTTATATTAAATATTAGAACAACCACGAATATCAACTGCTACTCGTGGAAAGAGAACAACATCAACTGCGAGTAGTTCATCGAAAAAAAATATTTTAAATGTTAAAGAAGATGAAGATATAATTGAAAAAGTATATAGATAAAGTTTTATTCAATAGGATTGATTTTATTTAGTAGTTTTGATCAAGATTTGTTAGATTTTCATCTTATAACGATAATAAAACTCGATCATAGTTGTTCGAGATATGTATGGATTTCATATATTACTTATTCAATCTGTTAAGCGAAATTTGGGGATTTGTGATGTTAACTATAGCGGATAGAAGAAGGCATAGTAGTACTAGCCGAGAAATATATTTCGATTATAGTTTAAAAGAACTATGAATGTCACTAGTTTAGTATAGGTTAACGCACAAGATTTCATATTTATAATAATGTTTCGTTTTTTTTTGTTTTTGAACAGAATCGATTTGCTCCTTTACAAGTATGAAATTGCTTGAGTCGATAACCAATACAGTTTATATATTCCTCAGATAATTTTGGCAACGATATCATAGCAATCAACCTAAATTTAGCTTGTATCTCTAATTAGAGTTCATCATACTATCACTTTTCTCTCTGGTTGCTTCTGCATTAAAATATAAATATAGACTACACTACACAATTTTTATCTATTAAAATAATAAAAACAATTATCTGATATTTTCCAATAGATTGATTAATAATTGTATCTTTCTGATACGATTATTTATTTTCATCAATGGTAAGTCGCTATATACATTACAAAATATCTAATGAGAATCAATATGATTTTTTGATCAATGAATTAATACATAATCGTTATTATTATTATCAAATTATCATATATCTATTGATCTTCACAGTAATGCTTAATAATACACTTTTATATCGCTTTATTTTAATTTTTTATCGATATTCTATTAAAATCATTTCTTTTTCTAGGTACATTCATCTGCAGGATCATCATCAGGAAAAGTAAGTTACTTTGTTAATATTTTCATGTTAAAAATAAAATCTATTTTTCGACATAGTTACCCACTATTCTAGGACAACGTATTGAACGTGAAAATCCTCTGATAGAAAAAAATGAAAATCAATTAAACAATGGTGAAATAAATTTAAAAGGAAATTATGTTCTGCTGAATTTAAATCTATCACGTATCGTATATAAATATATGCTGAATTCTAAGAAAAAATTTCATTTATTTTTAAAGGAAATTATTTAACATTAGTAACTGTTCATGAATTTCTTCTTTCAATACAATATCAAACAACGGTAACACATTTTAATGAAATAAATATGGCTTCTTTGATTGATTTCACTGGACTTTGCCGACTTGAACTTAAAGTATATATATATATGTTTCTTTCTTTTATCGATCAAACCAAAATCAGACATTCCACACTGCAATATAAAATCTTTTCGGTCGGATGTTGCCAAATGGCAATATTTTACTATAGGGGAGTACGGTATTTTTCGAATAGCCGGTCGGAACGGGTTAAACATTAGAGAAACAAATACGTCTAGATTTCATTGACTTGTAAATTTCTGAAAAGAATGAAGAGTAGTTAACTACAATAATAATAATTTCGGTTTCTTTCTATGTTTGTTTTGACTGAAAATTAATAATTACGAACTAATAACTGAGGGAGACTAGAAGCATTATACTATCTCAGTTTGTAGATCTATAAAATGTCAAACCATTACATGTCATAGCATGGAACAGTAACTAATATCTTTCGATATTCAACGCACTTAATATGAATTAAAGTACTACTCAGCACTATACCATTCTACTGAGATGTTCTTGGTTTTGAAAATTAGAAAATTCCATTCTCAATAGTTAGAATGTGTTAATTATGTATAGAAATTATATTGAATTAGTTTAGACTGTCCTTGAAAAGGTGTAGGTGTTAATATTGTATCCATTATACAATCATGTCTTACAACTTATAATTTGATAGAAAATTAAAATGAAATTATGATCGATTATAAATAAATCTATTGGAGCTGAACTCAACAGCGTTCATAGTTAACTAGACGTATATTAGAAAGATCATACATTTTTTACTCTATTTGAATACTTATGATTCTCTTTAGTAACTTTTTAAGTAAACGGAAATTATTCAAATTCATTTTGCAAAGACTTGTCATTTACAAGGTTGAATCAAAAATCTTTGATTATAATTTAACCTTGACAATCAATTACTGTAGAATGATAATCTAATACTTGAAATATTGTTATATAGAATCTATTCTTAAGATCAATATTTATTTAAGGGAATGAGTGATATATCAAAAACTTCTCCAGTTTATCAATCATTGGAAGCACTTCTTCTTAAAAAAAATCCATCATATCGTTTGCAACAAATAAAAGAACAAGAAACAAAAGAATTTCTTGAACAACAACCAGTTCAAATCGTACCTGAAAAAATACGTGCTGGTTCAACTGTTCGATCAGCAAGTTAGTTTCTTTATCATTATTAATACATTTAATACAAATAAAAATATTTAGATCAGCGACCAACATCACGAATAAAAGATACAAACTGAATCTTTTCCGTTTTTCTCTCTTCATTAAATAAATAAACAAGATTTTATTTTATTTTTTTGGGTTTTTTAGATTAGATTTTTCTAGAGAAAAAAAAGAGAAATGTCAGGTTTAACAAAAGCTTATGTTGATAAAAAAATACAAGCTCGACGTATTATGATGTTTGCTAAAGCAAATGATCCAGATTCCGATAAAGCTAAACAAATACTTGAACAATATTCATTATCAAAAAGTAAATCAAATGAAATATAATTCATATTCTTTTATCGTTTTTTTCTATAAAGATATATATGAAGTTGTTGATATTGAAAAACGACAAGATTGTATACAATTAGAAAATTATTTTCAATATATTTGTTATACTGATCGTCGACATGTAATAAAATAAAATGAATATTTTTAATTAAAATACATATGAATTCTTTTTTTTAGAGTCCATATATATTTATTGATCAACTTTATTTTGGCTCTTTATTTGAATTGAATATTTGCCACAAAGATGGCACATTAAAAAAACTTGTATCTTAAAAGATAATATCTAATGAAAATAAGAATTATTTTTTTGGAAACTTTTTCATCGGTGTTTTTCTTTTTGGACCTGACATTTATCTTCTACGAAACTTAACATTTTAAATCTAACTATGTTAATAAATCAAAAATAATAGAAAAACTTTTCTTTATTGTAAATGAATCATCAATAAAATTTCATTTTCAAAAGTGCATGTTTTTGTTAAAATTTACTAATGTTTACATCAACAACAATTGTGTTAGCAACTTAAATCAAGTCAAGTGACAAATTTAAAAGTTCTATATGATGATGAAAAATAAATGAAGTGTATCCAACACCTTGAAAAAAAACTAAAAATGAATTATTAGTCTCTATAAACTAACGATTGATCATAAATCTAATTCATTCGCAAGATATATTTGTTATTAAAACAGTTCTATTCACTTGATCTTAGTACAATATATTACTTTTGTATGTTTACAATAGCTTAACATTTTTTTTTCATAAAAAGAGGTCTGTAACTGATCAGAATCCTTGTAGAAGGACAACAATGATACTCTAATACTTCAAAGGATTTACTTCGTACGTACTTTCTTATATCATTTGTCCTTGAATTTAACTATTTGTTAAGAAAAATACTAACTAATTGTAGTTAAATACGTGGGATAAAAAAACAAAATTTATTTTCAAGGTTTCAGTAAAGAGAATTGTCACATGTCATTACATGTTTTTTGTGTACGTAAATGAATGTTTTCTAAAAATGTGATAAATTCACTATCAACAAATATTTCGCTTATTATTCGATACAAACAAAACTATATTCTATTTAATATTGAAAAAATTCTCGCTTTTTTGTGTATTACATGGTAATTCTTTTTTTTCACTTCGTTATGATGGCACTTAACATGTATATACACTGTTACATTTAAAAGAAAAAAAATATTTAACACTTATTTTCATGGTCATAAGCACTTATTTAATATTATTATTATTATGATTATTATTATTATTCGAAAAAAAATGTATTTAAACATAAAAAAATCTGCTATACAGAATAAATGTCAATATTCATTAAATATTTTCATCGTTCAGTTCAAGTTCATTCATTATCTGAGCAAAACATTCACTACCACCGAATAAACGTCGTGATCGAGTACCTAATGGTATATCATCTAAAATTGTTGATGATGGAGTTAAAATTCGACTATAAGTTTTTCGACTACTAATATCTGTTGATGCTGTTGATGATGATGAACTATTTTGTTTACGAAGTATTGAACGTGTATGACGAGTAGCAGCTAAACTTCGGTGATTATTCGTGGGTAGATGAATATCAAGAGGCGAACTATTAGCGGATGATTTTTTTGATTGTGGTTGAAGTTTTGATACAGCTTTTGTTTTCATTAATGCTGCGCGCCAATGTGTAGATGAAGCATTAGAATTTGGAGTTTGCATTTGTTCGGAATTAAAGTCAACATGTCGAAAACGTGACGATGTTGATAAATCCGAAACACGGATTGCAGGTAATACAAGATGATTATTACGTGTTGAAGGTGATGGATGAGATGTTGAAAAATCATCTATAAAATACAAATTAAATGTTATTTACATGTAATATAATGTAATTTACCTTTACTGAGCGAAGTTATTGTTGATGACGAATCATCAACATTATAGTTTCTCGTTGGCATTTTTTTCAATTTAGTTTTATGTTGATTTTGTTTTTTTCTTTCTATTGTATTTAATTGATCTTTTACTTCAGGATCAATTTTTAAATCTTTTTGAAATTGATAGACATACCAATGACATGTTGATACAAGCTGTTCGGCTTTAACTGAATCAATACCCATTTGACAAAGAGAATTTTTTAATAATTCTTGAGTTTCTATTGGACCATGATTATGACGATTAGACGTCTTAAGCCATGTCATATAATCAGTATATTTAGCTTTTAACTCAGATATATTATCAGTATTAAAAGGAGTATTATTTCCTTTTGAACGATACAATGATGTTGGTGGTAAACTAGGTTTTCGGCGAAGGCCATGTTCAATTGAAGGTAAATGAAGTTTCGAAGGCGGAAATACTGGTTTTTCAGCAAACATTTCAATCTATACAGGCAAGAAGAAGAAGAAAAAAAAGTGAATGAAAAAAAAAAAAAGTTTAAATTCTTATCGGCTTGTCATGAAATGATTAATGTTTGCATGTTATGTTTTACCTCTTTTTTTCTCCTACCTTTCTTCCTCTTATTAGAAAAATAAAATGAAAATAATGACTATTTTGCATTACTTGATTTCTTCATTTTTTCTTGTATATTAATTTTTAAATTACTACATTCATGCTACATTTAATAAACTTAACTGTGTCATATAAGAAACAAAAAATTAAGAATAATATGTATATATGCATATATCTAAGAACATTTATATGAAGAACACTTGACTTTATCGACGAGGTAAAACTATACAGGTGATTTAAATTATTCAAAATGAATTTTTTTTCTTTTGATCGAAAAAAAAATCAAGTCTAACTAATAACTAATTTTAACTACTAATTCAATTTTATAATGTGATAAATAGAATAGAAATCAAAAAAACAAGTTACTTTTAGAGATTATTAGATCATCTATGAAGCTTTATGATTATGAAAATAAAACGCATCTATATATATATATATAAATAAAGCAGATTTTTCTATTATAGTACTACGTCGTTTTATTTTGTTCAACTATACAAATGACGATAATAATTGCGTGACGGCACAACAGTAAAAAGGAAAATAGTTTGAGAATAAAATAATATATGAAAAAAGAGAACTCTTTGAAATGACTCGATTTAAAGACAACAAAAGAACGGAACTTGCACAGTCTGCAATACTATGAAAACAGCATGATGATATAATAACGAATTGAATTGGCCTTGACAAACAAAAGTAATCAAAAACTCACTAAAAAAATATAAACATAAATTGATTGTATAACGAGAATATGCAAGAATATACGATAAACACTTAAACCTAGACTTTGTTAGTTTATAACACTTACTAAAAAATGTCTGTCTGGGGTTATTTCAATATTGAAAAAAGATTTAAATCAATACAAAATTAACCTTAAGATGACTAAGCAAAAAGTTCAAAACTACAATCATATATTTCTCTATAGTTAACTGTTTATGTTCTTTTTTTAACATGACAATATGATGCATTGTAAATTTTATAAAAAAAATATGAAAACTGTTCTCATCAAGGTATTTTTCTCTTGTATATTTAATTTATGGAATTCATTTTGTAACTTTCTTGAATTTAATTGATTCTAATTGTAAATATTTATACAAAGAAATATTGTTTACTCGAGAAAATAAATTATTACAATTGAAACTTTTTGACTTCAGTGAAATAGTACATTGAAAATGAATTATTTTAAACAATTGATTTGAAATAAAAAAATTATTAAGAAACCTTTCTGAAAATAACAATATACTAGTTGCATTGTACTTTTTTTATTACGCCTTTTTACTAAGACATTTAACAAGTCTGTCATACGATTCAGTTCGATCTTATATATATTTCACAAATAATATTATTCTATTAATGATACTAATCTAAACAATAAATGATGTTCATCGCTCTGTTGATAATCTAGCTTTCATGAACAAAAAAAAACAACGAAATCTGTGAGAATATATTAAAAATAGTAGCATTGCATATCAGAAATCAGCGAACATATAAAACATTTTGGTTCTAATATCAATCATTATTATAAAATGTTCTACATAATAGAACTACTCATTTTACTATAGTATTACATTCATTTTACATCCCACATTTCCACTCATTATCAATTAATGTATCAATATTATTTATTTAGTCACATAACTCGTTCAATATCTATATTTCAATAAAATTCTTTTCTTATTTGTTAAAATCTGATACTCGATATAGAGTTCAATAATAATAAGAACAACTAACACTCTCGTTTTTATGCTCTTATGTCAAGAGTAAATTATTCATATTTATCTTGCTCTTCTAAACTCACATTTCAATTATACACAGTTATCTTCATCATCACATTCAGTTTGCTCATATTGTTTTTATTTATGAAAGTCACCAACATACTTACAACATATCAAAACTAGTATCATCATTCTTTTATTTACATGCCAAGGTAATAAAACCATTTTTCTACGCTATTAGATCACTTCTAAACTCATACTATAATATCTCATATATCCATAAGAACTGTTTTGGTACATAGCATCGTTTTATTCAGTAAGACAAATCCAATGACTTTTATATTTTTCTATTTCAATTTTCAATTCTTTAATCTACTGCATACTAAGAAATGAAAATATAAAACAAGATTCAACACGAAAAACAGTAAAATCTACAAAGTAAAGCTCATTTTCACAAAAATAGAAAAAAACTTCTCAACAACTAATTCTTATTGTTCCCAACAAAATCAATTGTTGTTTATAAATTATTGAGTCTTATATTTTACCATAATACTTTCACTCATTCAAAATTCAAACATATAAATTAGTTTTTTATTTGTTTTACAGAATATAAATCTGTCATACAAAAATAGTTCACATCAACATTTCATTATTATAATATTAGTTTAGAATTGAAAAAACAATACAGAAAAATACAGTTTAACCTTCTCTATTCCTAGATAAAAACAAAAGAAAATCTCTTCTAGCTCTCTGTGTGTGTAAATATAATATAATATAATGATGATATTAATTTTGATCAATGTTAGATATTACCTCATGATAAGTTGATGGATTAATTATTTGAGATACATCTAGTATTTAATTATGTAACAGTAAAATACTTTATTCACTTTTCTCATGATATAATTAGATATTTATTCGACAAAACGATAAAGACTATATTTCTTGTTTGAAATAATTACAAACAACAACAACAAAATATAATATGCCTATAGTATTTGAATTAGTCTTCATTTTATAAAGTTAGAAATACCAATCAGTTTATTTTTGATGCATGTTCTAACTTCACTGTTATATAAGAATAAATTTATCAACGCGCTGAATACGCTAATGTCACTTAATATTCCGAAGAGTGAATAAACCAACGGTGACACATTGTAGTTATAATCAAAAGCTATAAGAGCATAAATTGGAACCCATCCAATAACATACATGCCACATATAATGATTGTTTGTCGCAATAAACTCCTATCACGTCGATTTAGGTTTGGTATTTGAATACTAACTACAGGTATTTGAGTCGCATTGTTGATTGGTTTAACTCGACAAGATGATGAGTGGGCGTGTTTGAATATGGCAAGATTCAATAAAAATGCAATCAATGCTGGTAGTAATATGAGTGAAACTAACAAATATATAAACGACCATTGCGGGAAAGCACAATACTAAAAATAAACAAAATCTTTCAATGTTCAAAAATTCTTAATATTTAATATGAAGATATTTCTTGCATATATAATTGAAAAATTCTTACCGCTTTCATAGTTATTGCAAATGGCACTAATAGTAAACACTCAATTATACGTTGACATACCATACATAATACCAAAAAGGTTTTTGTTTTGAAAAATCTTTTAGTATGATATATTATTGTGCAGTATCGACTAAGACTCAATGTGATCAATGCAAATGGTAACTCAGAAACCACAAAAAATTGTATGCCATTGATAAATTTGCAAAATGGCTCCGTCCATAATAGGTAAAGATAAAAGTGATACACAATATAATATCCTGTAAAAAAACCAGTATTACAGAATAAACCAAAACAAAGATTTAATGTAACAAGATTGAAAGTATCATGAAACCGACGTAGAAATATAATTGGAATACAATATAACAATGCAGTGAGAGCAATAATTCCACCTAAAATAATTTTAACGATGGATAAGATCAGTGCAATATCGGCCATTGTATAATATTTGTGTAAATGGATAATAAAAGATATATAAACAATAAATATGTTAAGAATAATCTAATTCAAAAGAAAACAAATTAACATATTAGATTTAGTAAGTTTTTCAATATTATCTGATAGCCAGAATATTATTAAAATATTCTACAATCTAGTTCGATTTTATTTAATGATAGTAATCTACTGGAAGAATACACTATTTACTAACTATTCTAACTAGAACTACTATGAAGTGTGAAACTTAGATAAAATGAAAAGTTTGCAAATATTCTTCAAGATCGATGAAAATACTTTTCAGTAATAAAACATCGCCTTGAAGTTTAATTAAATAAGACGTAAATAAAAGTGAGCATGGGCTATACCGCAGGCTTTAATTTTCTTTGATTATTAATAAATCTATTAGTTGTAAAGATGTTTTCCTACAGATAGTTTTAAAATTAGTTTCTAAATACAAACTCTATTACTATTAAAATGTGACTATACTTGATCGAAGTCGATGATAAAGTCTTTTCGTCTTGATGTGGAGAAACAATATTCTTCAGTTCATTAAAACTAGCAGTGAGATAACTACTCAATTCTCAGACAATTAAAAAAAGTAAGCAGTGAATGAATACTTTGCTCTTCCTCTAAATAACAACGTTGGCAATTTTTAACATAAATAAAAATGACGTCTTCTCTTTTCATATGTTCTTGTGTTTTTTGGTAAAGAGATATTGTAGATTTTTATTTTATTTATACAATTGAAAGGATTTATCAAAGAAAATGAGATAAGTCGAGAGCTAATTTAATTATTTATTTCCTATCTTTACATTTCTATCTATGCATGAAATTCTTTCAAAAAACATTAATAAAGTTGTTTTGAACCCTGCTAATATAAATTTCTGCGTCAATTATTCTTTGCAATATATTATTCATTTAGTGTCTCTATGGTCGATAAGTTCTTCAAATATGTCAATTATAAAAATATATTTATCTAACAACTTGACCTAAATATATCGAGAAAGGGATGACTACATCTATTCATCTCAGTTTAAAAATAATTTTTCAGTTTAATAGAATTAGTAATGCAAATATTATTTCTGTTATGATAAATTTATGTAAAAACACTTAATAGATTTTATATTAAGTGTATGCAATTCATAATAAATAAACAAATTCTTTGAAATAGATAAGACATGTCTTTTGTATTCATGTCTAGTTGACATCAGATGAATGATTTATGATAACCATTCAAAAATAGAACATGTGCCATAGGGTATAATATTATTATGTAAACTCTTCCATAAAGAGAAAACTAAGGAACTTAATTCAACTGATAGATTTATTAACTGGATTGAATTGTATTGAATTGATTAGAAAAGAATTTTCTATACTTATAGCTTCATTTCAACTCAATTGAAATTAAAAACGTCTATTGAATTTAATTAGTATCTATTTTTGAAACAGAAACTCAGAAAAATTAAGATTTTCCATATGTTTTCTGATATTTATCCAAATGAATTTTCATAAATGTATAATTCATTCGATTCCGACTGAGTGAGTTAATTTGAAAACGATGAATTGAATGCAATTTAAAAATTTAGTCAGATATGAATCGAATTACGGTGATGGATTTTAGAAAGATCTATGAATGAAAGTGAGTTTGATTGGAAAGAAACTTGTTATGTGAGTGTTGAGTTAAATACATTGGAATAATCAGCCATTTTGAATAAATCGAGTTAAAGAATGGTGTAATGAGTTAACGGATTGAAGTGAACTTTTCTATATATTGTAATATAGTATCAAAGTAAGAGATATTATGAATATGATTAAATTACAACTTTCTTACTGATCTCATTCCTGAATTAGTCGAAAAATATCAATTTATACGATATTGTGATATCAGCAATATATAGTGTATCTTACTGATATTTATATAACTAAAAATTGACATGGTATCATCATACCTTATTAGAAGCATGAAATCTAGAACTCCACGATGGAAAAATCAATATTCATTATTCGTTAGTTATATTTATGAATAAATAATATGATATAAATGAAAAAAACGAACACTAAATACTATTGTTTTAACAGCACAAGTATTAAAACAATCAGATATTCTTCAACAGCAATATTAAAGATTTTATTTCGTCGTATTGTATAATCAAACATTTCGTTTAGTATTAAACAGATTTAGGTCTACAACTCACGATCTTTTCTATGCAGTTAATGTTGCATTGCTTCATCATGCCTTAGCATTCTTTTCCTTCAGTTTAGTTTAGAAATGTGACATTATTAATGAAATATGAATATGTTATCATTCATATTTTGATTGACATATTCCAGCATTGTCTTGTATTATTAATCAAATTAAAATATCAGAAGATTATTTTATCTTTTATTTTGGTGATTTTTTAAACAAAACAAACAAAATCATCCTATGTTTTATTAGACAAAACAACAAAATGTCTAAAGAACATCCCATCTTTCTTCAAATGCAGCACAAACTTTAGAACAAGTTAATGCAGCTGAAAGTGGATAAGATGATATTGATATTGCATCTTCATTGTAATCAACATTAACACTTCCTTTTGCCATCGCACCAATAACAAAAACAACTGGTTGATCAATATCACCACATTGATTTTGAACATAATCACGAATATTAACAAGATTTGATGATGTTAAACTAAATGATGTAGAAATCTTCTTACAACCAACAGGAAAATGATCAGTTATAGGATTTTTAATAACTTTAAGTAATTTAATACCACCTTGAACAGTATCTTGAGATCGAATTGATAATTTATGAAGAAGTTGAACCATTAAACCAGCAAATCGATCAAATGTTCGTGGAATACGAGTTTGAGGATTAACTTCAATTAATATTCCTTTATGTGTATGAATATAAACCTAAATAAGTAAATATAATTTTACATACATTCATTTTAAGATTAGAATATAGAATATCTTACTTGAAGTAATCCAGCTCGATTCAATGGTGAATCAAGTAACATTAATAAACATTGATGTGTTATATCAGGTCTTGCATTTGAATTTGGATCACGTTTATATTTTAAAAGATGATTTTTATGTCGATCACAATTAAGTAATTCATAAACTTTACCAATTTTAATTGTTTCTAAATTTGCTTGTTCAAGAACAACAATTAATCGTTTATCGGATGATTTGGTTTTTTTTGCTTTATTCATTAACGATTCATCTGGATGAATTACTTGTAATTTTTCTTGTTCATCATCATTACCTGCTTGATGTTCTTGTCTTGAACGTTTATTATTTGAAGGCATTGTTTTATCTGGAAAATGAATGAGATTATTTGATTTATTTATTTATTTATTTGTTGTACTCGGCAAAAAATAAAATACATTGATCAATGATATTTTTTTTTTCTTTTTTTTCTCGCTTTCAATCAATGCACAAAAGAAGAAGTAGAAGAAGAAGACGACAAAGAAAAAATGAGTCTTTCGAATTGTTTTTTTTTGTATGTTAAAGACTTGCGCCCATTTTAAATGCGACATTATTGTTAATCGATGGTGTTGCTGTTTGTTGTGATGGTTTTATTTCATCATTTGAATTTGTATTTAAATCATCATTCATATCATTATCTAATGGTTCATTTTCTCCATCAGAATATTGATCTAATTTTTCAAAACCTTTACGTCTATTCATCCAATCACCAAGAACAGAACTAGAACCAGTATTAGTATTTTTAACATCACTTAAAAATGTATTTAAACGACGAAGTTTACGAAGATTTCGTATGCGAATAATACATCCAAATATAACGGCTAGAAAAACTGGAATAGCAAAGAATGCCATAATTATTAATGATACTCGAAAATTTTTATCATTTAAATAAACTCGTTTACTAAATATTTGTGTTGGTAAATCTAAAATGATTGTAATTAATAAATATAAAAAATAGTAAAATTTTGTTTTATTACCTTTTCGTTTAGCTAATTCAAATTTATGTAGAGCATTGGCAGATGTTGAAGCTAATTCACCAACATAAATTTCACGACCATTTGATGATATAGCAATATCATGAGGAGCGATTAAATGCTTTAAAAAAAAATCAAATAATTAAATATACTGAAATACAATGAATTTAATTTGTATACTTCAGTCACACGCAATCGTTATAAAATAATCGATAATAAACTTCGTGCTTATTACGAATAAGATTTAATAGAAACCGGATTAGAAAATCAATTACGCTAATATGTAATTCTACCGGTAGTAAACAAGCTCGAAAATAATGAGGTTCAATTAGTCTAAGATATCAGATAAGTAATCTATAGAAGAAGTATTTCCACGGAGTTCTTTTTCTGACAGGTATCGAATGTATGTAATCTCAAAAGAACCTTAAGGACTTATTTATAATATATATGAATAGATTTGATATTTCAGATTGAGGATCAGATAATTTTAGATGTTTTTAAAATAGTTATCATTTGATACAGAAAGTTTTTATCAATCCAGAAGTACACGAACAGAATTAAGTTTTCCACTAATATTTATCATTTAATCTTATACGATTTTGTTCTATATTTACCGGATTTGAATCAAATGATGTTAAAATATCTCCACTTCGTGCATCAATCATATAAACTTTTTTAACTGGAGTTTCTGAACCACCTGTGACAGCAAATAAGACAGTTCCTAGATAAACAAAAACAAGCAAAATCAAATCATATTTCATTTTTTTTAACACAAACCATTGGCATTTGGTGCGAATTCAATAGCATATATAGGACCAATATTATCTTTTGCTTCGACACGTATTTGTCGTTGAAATTCACCAGTATTTGAATTCAAACATTGTATACGATAGTTTTCTCGATCGGCACCACATAATAATTGAGCATCTTCATTTAGTGCAATCGAATGAACAATATTCCATTGATTAGGTAGTGGATAACCATCATCTATGAAAATTTTAATAATATTAAATAATGAATTATTTATGATTGTATATAGTTCATTATACTAATCATCAATATCAAATTCCTAACGACTCTTCGAACTTCATTATGAAGAATTCTAACTTACTATCATGCATTCCATTCATTGGTGTTCCCCATTCCGTTATATATTCTCCTTTACGATTAAATTTAATAATACGACTATTACAATATCTAAAAGAAAATAATCAATGAAAAAAATTTCGTTTTATTTTAGAAATTTTACCCATCAGCAACAAAAAAATCTCCATTTTTCATTACAGCAATATCTGCTGGTCGACAAAGTTGAGTTGGTCCAGAACCTGGTTGAAACATTTCTCCAACTGTTAATGCTGGATGTGTTAAATCATTTGGTTTAAACATAAACACTTGATGCATAGCTATATCGGTTAACCAAATATTTCCTGCATGATCAATTGTTAAACCATGTGGCATATAAAACATTTTTGCTCCCCAACGTGATTTCATTTGTCCTGTACGTGTATCAATATGAAGAAGAACATCTTCATCAATAGGACCATAAGCTTCATTACGAAAACGATAATTGCCACTGAAATATCTTTAAAAAAAACAATAATTTTATTTATATGAAAAACAAATTCTAATATATTTTCTTCTTACTTATTTTCCCATTTTCGTGGACCACGATGAAATACAATAAGTTCATCATTAGCTTTATTTAAAGCTATTCCACCTATTTCACCGAGTTGATTTGGTAATGATTTAACATCAGGCCATGTATCAATACATGTATATAAATTCGCTAGAAATATATCAAAGAAAATTGTTGTAGATAATCAGTTTTTCTTTTTTTTTCTTTTTTACAAATACATCATTTGACAGACAACATATAGACGATAATACAATATAAAATCTCACAGCTCATTATTTTCGCATTATGTAATTTAACTGTTTGATCTTTTCCATATGTTAAATGTGTCGGTAATAAATAATCGAAATTTTGTGCATCAACATATTCATAATCAGGTAAACCAAGATGTGATAAAACTTTATTTATATCATATGGATTTTGTCCTCGATTACGATGACGCATATTTTCAACTTCATCCATATATTCATCATAAGATGGTTCATCATTTGATCCTATTGATGAATGTTTACCATTACCTGTTTATTATATAATAAAAAATAAAAATAATAAAATAAACTTACCAGTTGATGGATTCATTGCATGTTCAGCATGTGTATGATGACCACTACCTGTTTCACCAATATCAGATGGTTTACGTGGTGGAACGTCACTATCAGGTGGAATCAGACTAAAAAACAAAAAAAAAATGATTTTATTATCAGAGAGAATTATTTACAAAGAAGATCTAATGAGAGAATGGAATCATCTTAGGAATTTTCAAATGATAAATTTTATTTTAAAAACATACTTTGCCAATGAACTAAATTCATTATCCCAACATGAACGAATTGGAGCTTCACCAGTTTTTTGTTTTCCATTAGCTGTTTTTGTTGGTTCAAACGAATACATTGCATATACATTGCACATTTCATCTTTATGTGTTGGTCTAAATTTTATGGAAAAATAAATCAAATATTTTTTTCATATATATAAAATAGAAGTAATTGATTTACCCGACTCGAATAATTTGATCATCATCATTATCATAAACACATTGTCCAATAAGATAATCATCAGTCTGAATCTCAATAGGTGATGTAAGTGGATAGAATGATTGTGGCCATTGTGGATCACCTTTAACTATTTGTGTAACAACACCATCACGTACACGATATAATGAATTAACTCGTGCTAAACAGAATTTTATGTCAAGAATAATAATAATAATAATAAATAAATAAAATATTTACCCCATTGATGTGCATGAACACGAGCAGCAAAAATTGAAATTGTTGGTCCATTATAACGACATGAAAATGGTGTTCGTACAGCTAAAATAAAACGTTTAACTTATGTGATCTAATATATATTCTATTTACAATGTGTTTTTGCTTTTAAATAGATCTGACTTGTACCAGCTAACATAACACCTGCTTGATATTTACGTCTAAAAGAAAATCAATAAAATATAGAGAAAAAAAACAGTCAATCGAATATATACGATTTTCGACTCATAATTATTTGATTTCCTGATTTATCATTAAGGATATTAGTTAAATAATGTATATTGACTACAATATATTTGTATGGCGTATTACGACCAACCGGAAATCCAACATCTAAATATTTACTTTTGTGAAATTTTCTATTTATCTAACAATCAACATACCATCTGGTAAATTCATTGATGGTGCATTTCGAGCCCATCCATGTATAATTAATTGTTCACTACCAGTACATGCTTGGCCAGATGTCCTATTTATAGATATATACAAATAAGTTTTTTTTTTAGAAATAAAACAAACCAAAATCGTTTATTAGAACCCGGTTTAGCGCAAGCAAATGTTAGCATATGATGAGCAGCATTCATAGTAATCAATGGTGAATAACCAACTATATTAGAATGTGAAAAAAAGTAGGTTAATTAGATCATTAAACTTACCAATAGCCAGTTCTTCATCGGGCAATTCATATTGAAGAAAACTGTACTGATCACCCTAGAGAAGAAGTAATATTAGCATGTTTTTTTTTTGTAAATTGTTAAGTTTTTTAGTTAACCTGTGTCGTATTAAAATTTGGCATAGTAATATTTATGCTGAAAAGATCATCTTTATTTTTAACACTTGCCGCATAATTATAATTAACGATACTAAGAAGTCCCAGAAAGATATTGAGGACGGTTGTTGTTATTCCAAAACGAGATTTATCCATATTTTCGTATATACAATTATACAGACTTGATCTTGATTAAAAGAAGTGATAGAATGAACCGAGCACAAGAAAAAAAAAAGGAAAAAGAGGAATGTTACATCTGAAATATAATAATAATGCTATGATTATAAGCTAGACAACAGATAAAACAATTGATATCCCATGAATAACTATTATATTAATATTATTTATCGTTATCGTTAAGTGGACAAACAAAACTAGCAAGAAGTAAATTTTGCACAAAATCATGTTTTCGTTTTTGTTGTTGTACTACAATATTATTTTCTCGAGTCAAAGATGAGGAAGACGTAGATTCATCACATAATCTTCGTAATAATGATGGATCAGGTTCTGTCAGTGATGTTTTTGTTGTGGATGATAATGATGGCTGTTGTTGTTGTTGATCAGGTGTTGGTTGTTGTTGAGCAACAATTTGTGCCCATGTTTGTTGACTACTATTATTATTATTATTATTTGACGAAGGCGAAGAAGAAGAAGATGGATCAATGAAAAGAGCAGATGCAAAAAGTGAATCGAAAAAGTCATTTTCAACTGACGGTAAAACATTTGATGTTGATGATGTTGTCTGTTGAGACGGATGAGATTGTTGTTGATGATGTGAACGTCCCGTTGAACGTAGACGATCACGTTCATATTGTTGTCGAGTTAAAGTTTGTAAATTAATTGTTGTCGATGATGAATTTGTATTATTATTTGCAGCTGCTAATCGTCTTACAGTCGATAATTGTGTTAATAAATCAGCAATTGGATCATTAACACCACTAACAGATGAGGTATCAACAACAAAATGTTGACTTACAGTTCCTCCACCTCGTCCTAAACCACCTCGTCTACTTGGTGTTCTTAATGGTCCTCGTCTAAAACCAGCTCGTGTACTAGTACTACTACTAGTAAAATCAAAATCTCGATTTGTTGATGATGATGATGATTGTCTTGCATATGGATTTGTTCCGATACCAGCTGTTGATGGTGTTTGAACTTGTTGATGTTGATGGTCATTAGCAATATGTGATAGAAGATCAGCTGTAACTAAATTTGGTTCACCATTTGTCATAGCTGCACAAATAGGACAAATAACTTCATTAGATTGTTGTTCATCAGCATGTTTTAATTGAAGATGATGAAAAAGATCAAGATTTTGTGTTGATGAATCATTTATAAATGGAAGTGAGAAACCCAATTCACCACAAAATGGACAAGTAAATGATTGAGCTGAATCAGATGTATATCGTTCTCCATGATAATATAAATCAAAATCTTGACGTGTTAATATACCTAAAAAATATTTTTTTTTTTGGTAAAAACAAAATCTATTTATTGTTTCTCTTTACATTGCATAGGATGTTCAATTGTATGATGGCTGGATGTTTCACCTCGTTCATGGCATGTTGAACAAAGATCATAATCATAACAAATTAAACATTTATAACGTTTTGAACGAAAATTACTTTTACTACAAGCGTCACAGCTAACACCTTCATGAGCTGACATAATTAAAACTAAAAAAGAATTCTTTGGAAAACTATAGAAAATCTGACATACCAACCATAATATTTGAACAAAATCAACCAATCAAAACAAACCTCTATGAAGATGTCATTTTATGTCTTTTAATTTTAAATTAGAAAACTATAAGAAAATCAATCGATAATAGATTATAAGATTTTATACATTAATTATAATAATTAATAACATATAAAAATATACTATTAATTTCGTGTTGCTTAGCAATTCGAAATAAAATATGATTGGTTAAAATATAATTATATGAAACATATATCATGAAGTGAGATAATTCGTTTAACTCTAGAGAATTAACTTTCATTACTAATAGATATCAAATAATTTGATCGAATCATGCGAATTAAACATGAAAGTCTTCTTCTGCCATCTGCTTTAATATTCTATAGGTGTCACAATTCAGTCACATAAACTTCATTTAAAAAAGAATACTATCAATGATAGAATTCTTATACTCGTATATTATTCTATTCAATATTTAATAACGTACACAAAGAATAAAACAAAAGTACAATAAAGTCTTTTTTTTGTTGTTAATGATAAATCGAAACACTTCAATGACCACCACCGAATAATTCACGAAGATCTGCATCTTTCTTGCATCTTAAAACAAATAAAATAATTTATGAGAAACAAAAAAAATAAATCGATTTATACCCTTGAATAAATTGTGCTTTATTTAATTTTTCACCTTCATGAATACCAAGTGTATTAAATACGCCAACAGCAAGTTCTTCTGGATAATTATTATCTGCTTTATCCGATTTGCCTGCAATAGTTAACTAAACAAAAAAAAATAATTAGTTTATTCTTTAATAATAAGAATAAATTCTTACTGAAGCTTTAAGAAAAGCAGCTAATTCTTGTAAATCCATTTGTCCATCTCCTGAAACATCACACCTAAATATGTTTATATAAGAATAAATATTATTTTAGATAAAAATCTAATCTCACATTTCAAAAACATAATTAAGATGACTATCTAAATCCCCTGGTGAACCAGCTGCAACTGCTAATAAAAATTCATAAAAATCAATTGTACCATCATGATCTCTATCAAATACTGCAAATACATGACTTAAACAAAAACAAAATCAATATAGAAATCATAAAAATAGTCACTCTTACTCGCATAAAACATTTGTTCTATCATTTTCATCTTTTATTTCTTCATAATATTTTACAAATCCTTGTTTATCCATTCTACCAGTAGAGAAATCATTCCAAAAAGCCTTGGAAAAAAAGAGAGACAAAAAAAACCTATTGAAGTAATAAATCTGAGAGTAACATACAGCATGTAAATCTATGATTTCTAAAAAAAAATAAAATATGATTAATATAATTTTCTTAGAAAAAAAAGTCATTCTCACCTTCTTCACTAAGTTTCGAACTTGCTTTCAGTAATGCAAGAACTAAATATAATATAATTTTAACACATATTAGATTAAATAAATGCAAAAGAACAGACCTTGTGGAGTTAGCTCTTTTGATGTTCCATATTTAACAACGACTTTGTTACCCATGAATAATATTTCTAAAAATGAGCAAAGATTTGACATTTGGAACAAACTTATATATATATATATATAATTATAGCAAGAAAATAAGAGTTGTCACGACATATTGTATGAGTACTTATCAAAGAAAAAAAAACAAATCCTTAACGTTATGCAGGATGCATCAAAGAAGTGTCGAACCCTTGATTAACATCATCGTATGTTCTATCTAATTTCCCTTTCTAAATATCATTAAGAATTAGTGAAAACAATAATGAAAATACCTATAAGAATAAATTAATGGAAATCCGGAGATAAAATACTACCGATTATTGTTTATTGACTATTGTTACAAGATAGACTAGATATCTATATTGATGATATATTTCTTATAGATATGTTTTCTTTAGACAATCTATAAAGAAATCTGTTTTATTAATTTATAGTTTTTCTTGTTTATTCATCAGTTTGCTTTTGTTATAAGGGGACTTCTGGCTTCACATCTGTGTGAGTAACACAAGGCATCGCAAGGTCTTTTTTTCGTCAATTCTAGTAGAGAGAAAGAAGGAAAAACAAATCTAAATTGATTTATCAATAAATTATCACATCTAGACATTATAAGATATAGTCTATATATATACACACATGAGAAGAAAGAACGACAAGTGAATAGGATTAGTAGAACAAACAAATGATGATTTAGAATAGAATATGAATCGTTCTTTCAAGCTTATTCTAGCTCAAATGTTCCATATAGATTTTAAAAGAGAAATCATGTTCTCGTTCTATACAATAAGTTTATAAGATAATTTAATGATCAGAAATGTCCCCAGACAGCGAGTTAATAGGGGAAATTAGTAAAGCAGAAAAAAAAATGTAGACATTAAGAATAATGTGTTTCCTGTTTGAAAAAGATCAGTAGCACGAAGAAGTTATTATCCTTAGAAATTATCAAAGTGTGATTATTAGTCAAATGAGAAAAAGAAAATAAAGTATATAACATATATTTTACTCGTATATATTTAAACGTAAACTTAAATATAGTATTTATATAGAACTATTGATGCGATACTCCTAATATGTTTGAAAGTCTGCGATTATTTGTTCATATATCAGTAAAATTTAGTGAATAATCTATAGGATATATTATTTCGATAGTTAATCTGAATACATTAGGACTGCTATGCTTAAATTTATTTTTTGAATATAGACAAAACTAAAAAGTCGATCCTGCCCATCGTAAAGAAATAAAAAACAGCAAATAAAAACAGTGAGAAAATATGGAAAGAGTCAAGTGTTACTTAAGAGACCGGATGATAGAGCAATTAGTTTTCTACAAAATGGGATAACGATAATATTTGTGTGACTTTCAGCTTCGAGTAAGAACGAGATTGATTTTTCCAGATTTAGTTATTAGTCAAAGATTTTTCAGATGGTGCTCAAATGAGCAAAACTTATACGAGTGCAGAAAACTGAAATTTTATTTTACGTTTATCTATGTATAGTATCTAGAAGAAAAGTAAACTACTCACTACATTTTGTAGATGATAAACGAGATTAATTGAATATTATCTTAAAAAAATGAGTATCTATATTTATCTCGTTCGAGTATTTTTCCAACTTACAAACGTCAAATTTGCTCTTTGAAACTCGTTAGCATACTACAAATGTTCCTATGTGGTCTTGATAATAACCAGTTGACTAACATCAATATTATAGAACGCATGTGCAAAGACGAGGAATACAATTCTAATAAGTTACATTAGTATCTCTATCTGAATCTCTACTTACATGTACTCGAGAGAACATATGAAAGGTTATTCCTTACCATATCACGTAACATTTAATTTAACGGATTTTGACTTTGATAATATATTACAAATGCTATATGTGAAATATGCTTCAATCAACTGTCTTCCGATCGTCTCATTAGCTTGCCTATTCAAAACAATGACAAATTTATCGATGCAACATCTATTTGATGACGAGTATGTGTATGTGTATTCCATATAATTGCTCAAGAAACTGCAGCTACACATTAAACTTTATAATTATCGTATTTCGTATGATTATTTATATCAAACAATTTTTAATTTTTTAAGCAGTTTGTCAACAGATTTAGTAGTCAACTCTATGCGCTGATGATAACTATTTTTAAATATCGATAAATTTTATAGTTTAGTGAGAACTACGATAACCTTGAGGATGTGGACAATTCACTTAGTACGTACACCGACATCCACATCCACCACATTGTTTATAGGAACTATCAACTAAGCACTTAATCCGAATAGAACGATTAGAAAAAAATACATTTCGAGTGTCTAGAAGTTAATTGCAACTCGATTCCTATTCATTATCAGTTATTTATAGAGAAAAGCTTGCTCACAAAGTGGATATACAGAAAGTAGCAAAATTATATGCTCTTCTATATCATAGTCAAAATATAGTTTACCCCCTGTAATTCAGATAGTCTTAAGTGTTTATATCGTCAAATGAGACTAGGAAAGTTTCTATATTCTATAAATGTTTTGATGGTTTATGAAAACTAAAACATACAAAGAAATAGTAGTAACTATCATAACAATAACAGGATGAAACAATCTGAAAGCTATTGAATTTTATGATAAAGTAATATGTAAAATATCACTTTGTAGGTGTATGCTTGAAACTAATCAATTATTATATATATATATATATGTATTTGTTTATTTAATCAAGAGTTTTAAAATAGAAAAAAGAATCTTCGAATCATAAATATTGAGTTTATTAAAAAAAAAAAGCTTGATAATTAATAACCAAACCAACGCTTCATAGAATTAAATGTTTTCCATATTCTACTTTGTGCTCTAATCCAAAACGGACCATTATCCATTAATGCAAAACACCATTGTAATAATTTTTCTTCGCTTAATGAATTCATAATACCTATCATTAATTCATCAATACCAGCCGGTTCCATTGTTTTACCATGTGATACATACTCTACTGAATTAACTGCTGCGCAGAGGCCAATAGTACCATAATAATAGACATCGTCAATATTTCTAGTTTGTATACTATGATCAGTAAGAAGAGTTTTGAAAGTATCTAAAATATATCCAGATTCATCGGAAGCATACATATTAGTAACAACTAATGCAATAAATACATCCAGTTGTCTACATTGCTCAATAACAGTTTTAACATGTTCAACCTCAAAAGCGGAACCTGGTGATGCACAATAGATTAAACAAATTGGATTTTTTTCTTTAACTAAGCTTTGTAAATGTTTCGCAATATCTAGTTGTGTCCAATTTTCAATACCTGGTGCATCCCAAATTCTTATTGAACACTTCGATGTTATAGTTGATTTATCATCAGTTGATGATGTGTAAGATTCTTTATATTCATAATAAGTCATTGTTGATGTACATGCATTACGTCCAGCACTAGTTTCAGCAATACTTTTTTTAAGAATAGCATTAATCAATGTACTTTTGCCAACACGAGGAGAACCCATTAATAGAATATCAAAAGATTTGTCGAGAGCTTTATGAAGATATTTTTGTACATCTTGTCTTGGTATTCTTCTAATAGTTGATCGAACAACATCACCCAAAATGACTTTCTTTTGTTCATCAACATTTTCTAATGTTGACTCATTATGTTCAGAAATGATAGATGTTTGTACAGAAACATCTGTTCTTGTTGTTGTTTCTTGTGAAATTTCATGGGTAGTGACTGCCGGAACTGATGTTGGTATAGAATCATCTGTTCGTGTTGTTGTTTCTTGTGGAATTTCATGAGTAGTAACTATCGGAACTGATGCTGGTATGGAATTATCTGTTGTTGTTGTTTCTTCTGGGATTTCATGGTTAGTAACTAGCGAAACAGATGGTACTATAGAACAAAATATATGTTGATTTATTTACTCAATCGTGTAAGTAATAAAATAAATAGTTGACATGTCAGAGTAATAGTTTTATATATTCACTCACAATATAGTACCCTCTGAGGACTTTCCTTAAATCTCATCAGATTTTACATTAGATAATTCATATGTCAAGACGAATATCGAAGGAAAATTTAAAAAAATGAGATATTACTTTATACCATTCATAAGAATAAACTATTTTGATACAACTCACATTTTACATATTGTCTTCCCATCTGTTGTTCAGCGATAATTTCTAACAGCCATTTTGTTCTCATGATCATCTCAAACTTTTGATTCATAAGATGTGGTTGAACTATCAAATGATTCTCCATTTCCAACTCATTATTCATTGCTATATAATAATGACTCGGTTCTGGTTCGCTGATTGTTTCACATATTATCTTAATAATATCACCAAAAGTTGTTACCATAGGAATAACTTTAACTGAAATAAATTCACATGTTCGACGAACATGTACTTCAATTGTGCATTCTTCAGAAGTCTTTTAATTATAAATTTTTACTACTAATTGTTATTATGAAGATTTTTAACTCACCATTGTGTGTGAAAAAGATGAGAACGTAAGAGTTTTTTTTTGTAAAATTACCGTTATAAGTGTCTTTAGTTATCTTTTGACGACTTAAATAAATAACATGCGATGTAGGCGTTTCTTTCTTATCATATTTTTTTCACTGAAAAAGGCAAGATTTCTATTGTTATTTTCTCATTTTCATACCGTAGACGTAGATGGTCACATGGCTGATAACGAATCCAAGGAAAGTATAATGCGAAGTCCATCCATTACATCAGAATCTGTTATTGGAGTTGCTGCTGAAAATTTACGAAAATCTATATATGGATGTGAAAAAGACAACCCACAATTTGTTGTTGATCATGCTAAAAAAAAATTACAAGAATTTACTTTTGTTGTTAGTGGTGCACCAAAAACTGGTAAAAGTACATTAATCAATGCAATTATCAACAAAGATGTGGCACCAACTAGAATAGGTCCTGGTGCTGTTACATTAGAGACAAAATGTTATTCACTCGAAGGTAATTGTCCAAATAAAACTGACGAACAAACGGGTAATGTAGTACAAGAAGGTGAAAAATTTCGAATTAATATTTGGGATACAAAAGGTATTACAACATGGGATAGCTCAATTATTGATATTATCGAAGAAAAACATCCAATGTGTATGATAATATGTGCATCACCAGGTTCATTTGCAAAAGATGATATTCTCCACTCGTTAATTGATAGATGTGTAAATTTAAATATATTTGTTGCACTTGTTTGTACTAATCAATATACTGATTCTGATGAAAAACGAATAAAAATCATGCAAGAATTCGATGATTTGTTAAAGGTAAGTTATTATTAAATATTCAATCAGAAGATAAAATCTATATCTTATAGGTTTACAATACGGAACGTCGTGAAGAAAATGAAATTATTTATTATGGTAAGATTGGATTAGTAACAATGGTAAATAGTATTCCATATTCGAATACACGACTTGGTATTTATAAAGCAAAATGTGGTGTTAATAGTTTGATTTATGGTATAATGAAATCATTAAATGAAGAACAATTATTAGGATGGTGTTATACTCTGATGGAAAATGAAGGATTTTGGTCACAAATGAACACACAAATTCAAGATTTTTTTGCACAAAAGTTTACATATGGTAAATCAATACTATGGTCAATGTCGAAAGTTAGAACATGGTTTAAAACTTAGATCAAATTAGATTTCAAAACTTTTTTTGAACTCAAAATATTATTAATAACTTGCGAACATTTAATCGATTCATCTTTTTTTGATTTGTGTGATTATTTATTATATATATAGAAACTACAGTTATAGGGTGAATCAAAATGTCATCGTTAAAAACTTGGAAATTCGTAATATAATAAGGCACACAGACAAGATTTGAATTTTTTTATTAGTTTTATAATGAATTTAACAACATTGAAAAAATATAGTTTATCTTTCTCTTGTAATTGTTCAATGAATTTTGTGGTTTTTACTAAAAATAAAAATATCTTTTTAATATGAAATAATTAAGTTCATTTCTATTTACTTGATACCAAACTTTGAATAATCTCATATGCTATAGCAAACATTGGTTATGAATGAATTGAATTGAACGATGTTTTCATTAACATCAAACATATCAATACAATTAATTAAAAAAAGAAAGCATTGATTGATCAAGACTAAACAAAGTTTGAAAAGAACGTTTTACTTACAATTATCTGATCGAAAATAAATCGTATCTATATGTGATATACTTTTGTTAATTCAAGTTCATTGCATGAAGTAATGAAGTTAGTTAGCCAATTATTAATAAAACTAAGCTAACAAACCTACTACCTCAAACTTGAACTCGATTTCTTATCGTTGTTGTTGTTCTTTTTTCTTCATTTCATATATAATCTAATTAGTTGCGAGATCGTTCGATGACTGTCCAGTAGAATATGAACCAGCACTGATTGTATGGTGCTAGTTGCATACCTACGGGTTTAGCAATAGACGATAAATGAATGAATACATAAATATATATATATATATATATATAATAAGAGAAGAAGAAAAGGTGAGTCCGATTTTAGGTTTATTGATCTTTCATAATGATCATACAAACTGTGTGTGTGTGTGCTCGAATCAAGCCATATATTTCTGAATTGAATACAAAATAAAACGAAGAAGAAAGTAAACCAGCTGGTGGTTAGAAAGGTAAGAATATTCAGTCAACTATCAGCTAGTTGAAATGAAGACAAATATCCATTTATATATATATAAAAAAAAGATTCTCTTCTTACAGCTTGAAATAATTCATAAGACAGAAATAACTCTTTCTTTCTTTTGTATATATATATATGCATATGTTGGGAGGCATAACAGTACACCGGTGTATGATGATATTTATGGATAAAAAAAGAAAACGGTGTCCCATTAGCAAACATTGAATCCTATGATGTAACAAAAAAAAGAAGATATATGTAAATGATCATTCTTTGTTTTAGTACATAAAATGATATAGAGAATTTGTCCTATATATCTTTCTTTCTCTGATAAAAAACGGATGGCAATCTTATGTATATCGCTTTTCTCTCTCTCGGTTAGTAAATGTACACCTGAAAAGCACATGTAAATATTTATAATCTTATCTGTGCTTGTTTGATCAAAAAACAATAACATTGATCATCAGTTTTTTGTATAAATATGTGTAGCAAAATCTCATACAATCTAATATTCAAGATAAAAGTAAAAATTTGAACCATAATCAATGGGGTTTACATATAAGTTCTACTAGCACCTGGACAAGAAAACAACAGCATACATATTGACGAATAGTTTGAACTTATTTACACTATATGTAAAAGCACTTTTTTATTTTAATCAATATTTCTCGGAAAGTGTTGATTCCAAAAGAATGTTCTGCTTTTCGACATAAATAAATGGTTTGATAGGTACATATATATATATTGATTTTATTAAATTTGTTTAAATACGAAACAATCCACAATAATAAGAATTTAAGAGCACATAAAGAAAAAATTTTTTTTTTTTTCAGTAATAACATAAAAGAGAAAAAAGTAAGAAAAAAATTATTCAATTCTAATCCATCTTCTTGTAGAACGCCAACCAGTTTGTCGAGAAGAATCTTCTTTTTCCCATCGAATATATTTCTCATTCCAACCAAGACGACCACGATAATAATCTATTGGACGACCTAATTCTGTTTCATGTAAAATTATCATATGGATTAAACGCCCATCAAAATTTGCTATTGCTTTACTACCATGAACATTAGAATAACCAACTAATTGACCCATTTCAATACGAAATTCCATACGATGATAACGACGAGGATAATCTTCCCATAAACCACAAAAAGCTAATAATTTTTTTTCATATATTTCTATATCATGTAACTAAAAAAAATCATTATTCCTATTTTCAAATTATTGTAAGAGTAAAAAAAACTTACATTTTCTGGAAGTACATCAGTAGGTTGAGATGATTGTTGTTTTGGTTCTTCATTACTTTCTTTTCCTTGATTTATTGTAAGTCGACTAGATGGAATATCAAGTAAATTACATGGATCACTTTCAAACATGAATTTAGTTAAATGCTCATCGTACAACATGTTGACCTGTATAAAACAATTGTTTGCTATATCTGAATGACCGAATGAATTGCTATATTCACCTTTTGCATATATATATATATATATATATACGAAACAGTGGAGAAGCAAAATATGAAACCAAGCAATCCTATTCGTTGTTCTTGCATTTACATACGTAGCCGTCTAGTCAATGGTCAGATTTTCCTTTAGCATAAAGCTCGGCAAGAAATGAAGAAAGCGACCGCCATTAACCATGACAAAATACGAAAGAGTTTAAAGGATGAGTATCTTTTCATCATCATAAGCTTACTTAAAGTAAAACAGATTGATAATTTAATGCAAAACGGCAAATATAATGTGATGAATAGAATCATTGTTGGTATTTAATTATGACAGTGAAAACCTAGAAGTAGTCTTTCATGTGAATAGTATCTTAAATCTAGTGTTTTCAATCATTTATAAATCTATAAAAATGATCGGTAGTAATACATATGAGAAATTCAAAGAAAGAGTTAAAAAAATGATAATGATAAGCCAATTTGTCATGGCATTATTTTTACTCTAAAAAGAATTATTGTTTATCATGTTAAATAAAAATATAATATCAAATGATATCAGCTATACTTTTTTATACGAAAAAAATGAACTGCTATTTTGTCATAATGATGAGAGTGTTGCATATTCAAGTTTTATTAATTGTGGATCTAACATAAAATTGTACAAAACACATTATCAATTATTACATACAAATAAATAATTTGATTACTCTACTTCCATCGCGTAGGTCTAATATAGTTTCAAAATGTACCTAACTATGTCTGATAATCGTTCAATCACGATACGAGTAGAAGTATACATAATAATCATATTCATCTCGATATTATCAATCACTTAACTAATGATGACTAATATGTGATAGTATATACTTTCTAAACAAGCAACTTATTGTTTCAATTCAAGACGAAATTAGATAGTACATATTTGTTTTACTGTCATTACTATATAAAGAATCTCCTTTTATTTACCACTTCAGTCGTCCTATTCAGCCTATAACCTAAATTTTATTTACAAATTGAATAAAAAATAACTATCATCGCATGTATAATAGTAAACAAAATCGTGCATTCTTTATAAATCTATCAAACAAATTCTATAAAAATTAAATTCTATTTGAATATAACATATTGGTCTATATTCTATACTAAACATGATCAATTAGATAGAAAAAGGATATAGACACATTTTAATTGTTCTATTTGTCTTATTTTTCTCTCTTTGATTGGCTCAATTAAGTCAATCAATAATTAGTATCTTCGATATTAGGATTAACTGAAAGTGGTGTTATCGGATTGTTGGAGATGAGGTCGATGAATATTCATTTTTCAACATTACACTATCATGTCAACTTCAAAACCACATACACGTGAACCTCTTAATACACGACAACGTACAATTCTTATGACATTCTATAATCAGAATCCATATCCATCTGCAAGTGAACGTCATCAACTTGCTGAAACAACTGGTCGAACATTAAAACAAATTCAAGATTGGTTTTCAAATCGACGAGTAAATATTATATTTCAATATTCTTTATTTTATCTTATTTCTTTTTTTTCTTATAGCGTAATGATCAACAATTAATATCAGGAAAACCAACTATTACTTTATTACCTCCTCCTCCTCCACCACAACCACAAGTAGTAGTAAGTTAATTACGATTTATCTTAATTTTTATTAAAATTTTATGTATCTATAGCCAACACAACCAATGTATTGTTATACATCACCAACATCAGCTATGTGTCCATGTTGTTACTTCACTCAAACATCTCCAATAATTGATCAAACATTTTATTCTCATTATCCAACATATTACTATTCTTCATCGAATACTTTTCATTCATAGAAGATATTATTTATTGTTGTTTTTTTGTTTTATCAATAAAGTTTGATTATTATTCATTTTTCCATATTTAAATAAACTAATAATAACAAATCATCTTGTTCTCTTTGTATATCAGAACATGCAATGGGAATGTAATCGTATATATTTATATATATATTTCGATAAGTACAAATAGAATTCTTTCTTTCGTTCATCGACATGCGTAAATCTCTATGATTCATTTTTACTGGACATACATAAACACACGTTTATTTCGTCTTTTCTACTTATACACTCTCATTCCAGTCAAGGGGTGGATTACATTTAACATATATATCACTATTTCTAAACCATATAACAAAACAATAAACTTATGATGATGATGTCAGCTCCATCTTCATCATTTCATGATGTGAGTGTTAAATTGAATTTTGTTGATTTATGTATTTTCTAATTGAGATTTTGTTTTGTTAGTATTTGGCAATGGATTCGTGCTTGCCGAAAATGGAAGCCATGACACCGATTATGCAAACAAATGAAGAATATTTAGGAGAAACATTTGATAATAGTGATATTAATAGTAATAATAATAGAAATAATAGAAATACAGTTATTAAACGACCAATGAATGCATTTTTATTATGGGCACGTGGTGAAAGAAAACGTGTTTCAAGTGATGGTTATGGTGTTAGTCAAACATCACTGAGTAAACTGCTGGGTGAAACATGGCGGTAAAGATCTTTATATGATGCAATGTTTTATTTTATATACAACATAAAAAAAACCTCCTATTTTAGACATATGTCAGTCGAAGAGAAACAACCGTTTTTGGATATGGCTGAAACATTAAAACGTCAACATCATATTGATCATCCAGATTATAAATTTAAACCAAAACAACGTTCAACAAATGGTAATAAAACAACTTCAACAACAGTTAAAAAAAATAATTTATTCACACGTTAGTTTAATTTTCAATTTTTTATAAAAATATTAAATTCATTTTGTTTAGCTCAACGACAATTATCAACAATAATTCCATCACCACCACATTGTACATCATCTTTATCCCAATCATCACCAATGTCAAATGCAACTCCTCATCCTATACAATCGAATGTTTTAGCAATGTGTCAAGCAATGATTCCATCATCACCATTAGAAAATAATAATGACTGGTTTTCTCAATTGACTGGACAACCTCAATCAGTTATTGTTGCACCTATACCACGAAATCAAACTTCACCTATATCATCACGTCGAGCTGTACGTATACAAATAATAAATAAACATGATGATATTGTTTTACCTCCACCAACATTACTACCTATGACACCTCCACCACCATCATCTTCACATATTATGGAAGACTCAACTCCAACATTAGTCGATTATCTCGCTAATAATTGTAATATATTTAATATTCCTACTAATAACAATCCACAAGTATTAGCACCTGTGATGGATGATGCAAATGGTAAAAGAACTAATTTTTACTTATAAAAATCTATTTTACTAATTTTCTCTTCTAGAATATGAAACATTACATGATTCATCAGTTAATCATTTAACAGATTTGGATCAACATTATGATAGTAGTGGTTGGATTGATACTCCTTTATCTAGTTTTGGTACAAATTCAACGGATATAGTTCCATCATCGCCCTATTCATCCTATGACTTTTTATGCCTCTAAGCTTTATTTTCTTTCTTTCATTTCGTTTTTCTTTTTGATTTATTTGATGACGGTTAAATTCTAAATAGAGATATAAGTTAAAGATAGTATAGTATTTTTCTTTATTTCTTGTCTTATCCTTGTGTGAATACGAAAGTAAGCTCATGCGTGTGCCATTTAACTTTTCTTGTTTTCTTTTTTCTTTCGGCTTTTGCTTATGTTCTTATTTTTGGTTTTTTCTTTTTTTTTCTCTTTCTCTCTCTATATTTTTCTGTGTTTTTGGTTCATGTATATGAGTGCATGTTGTACAACAAAAAGACTTGAACGACAAAAAACAAAATCAATGAAAATAAAAACACTCGCATGTGCTCTTTAACGATTTTCGTTGTTTTTATTTATAGAGATGAAATTATTAAATATGAAGGCACCCACCCTCTTTCCTATATATATATTTATGAAAGAAAAAAATTTAGTTATCTATGAGTCTACTCCTATCGAAAAAGGTTTTTATAGAATTATTCTTTACTGTCTACTAGCACATTGTCTTTGAATTTTATTTAAATAGATACGTTAACTACTATTTTAAAATTAGCTCCAATAAGCACATTATTATTTTGAAAATAAAATAAAGAAATTCAATTAGCCTAGTCATTTAAATATTACGACAGATTTCGCTAGTTTTTATGATTCCGTTTGCTATACGAATAAACCAATAGAATATATATGATGACTCGATTAATTCTTTTAGATTAAATATTCTTTCAAATTTATTAACAATGACAAGTACATCTGAATCTATTGGTATTCTTGATTTAATTTTATCTGAACATAAATATATGCGTGATGAATATGAACACTTCAAAAGTGTTGATGATACTGCTGAACTTAATCCACGTGTACGTGATTGGATTGCTTATGTAGCATTACATGGACATAAAGAAGAAATAGCATTTTATCCGAAAGTTGAAGTTTATTTAAAAGATGAAAAAAAAGGTGGACATCATTTAATTGAACATGGAATAAAAGAACATCGTGAACTTGAAGTTGAATTAAAAAAATTAGCTGAACAATCAACGATTACTTGGGAACAAATAAGAAAAGCAGTTGCTAAATTAAGTATGAATATAAAATAATTGTTTGATTTGATTACTTTTCTTATTTTTTTTTTGTTTAGTGCATCATTTAGATGAAGAAGAAACCGATATTATTGAACCACTTCGATCAAAACTTGATCAAAAACTTCAACTTGAACTTGCTCAACAATTTATCGATGCAGGTCGACTAGCATCTAAAAAACCTCATCCTGAGATGTCGAAAAATCCTGAAAAAGCTCCACGAGATAATATTGATGTTGGATTAGCTGAAAAACGTTAATAGTTTTTATTTTAATTTATTATTATTCAAGCATTTTTTTAAAACTAAAGCGAAAGTTTTTTCAAAAATATTTTTGTATAATTTTAAACAAATAGATTCACTTAAATCTTCTGAATATAAACGGATCTATCCGTCAAGTCCTTCTCGATTGGACCTAAAAAGAATATTCGTTTATGACGATAAGATATTCATAGATTTGTAGATAATTCAACAATAGAATAAAAATGTGATCTCACAAATTTAATCAAAATCCATGTGTAGACCACAATTTTATCCAATCGAATGAAAACTTTCTAGATGTATAACTCTTCAAGTATCTTACTTACTGTTTCGGTAATATGACTACGTGAAAAATTTATCTTCTGTTATGAATTTTTGGTTTGAATGAGTTTAAATAAGACTTGACTTGATGTCTGATATTTCGGGTGCAAACTGATAAAATCCGAGTGGACAATGATGAATGAATCAATGAATGAATGTATAAGATTGAAATGAATGTTTATTTTATAGACAGATAAGACACGTCTCATTTTCAAAGAATCTCTATACTGATCCATCATAATCATACGATATTGCGTTCGTGTATGAATGTTTTATTCTGTCCTATTTAGAAAAAAAACTATATAAAATAACATTCTTCGTATTTAACATAAAACTTCAGGAATTTCCCTCTAGTTCTACATGTTTAAAATCTTATAATAATACTAAAGAGATATGTAGACAAATTCTTTTTTTTTGAAATATCAAAGATTTAATTTTACGAGATTATAAACATTAAGAATAAGTAATTGTCTCAATATGAATACAGTGGATCTAGGCTTCACGAAAAATTCCGATGAAAAACTTTTAAAAGATCAAAATCAAGGGCAGATGGCGTTAGTTTTTTTCCCCAAATAATATTCTTTTGATATTTAAAGAAAAGATTACAAAATATACCATAATTAATACTAAATCCATTATTTAAATTCAGTAAAATTTTCTGATGAATATAAAAAAATCTATTAGATATTTTATCACCAATAGAATCTTATCAATATCAATAAGTCAACGTTATATGTTCAATTTCGTAGAAGTTATTCTATTGAAACATCTATCTATTTTTTGAATGTTTCAGATAATTAGTTTAAAAACTAAATTTTGTCTTGTTATTATTCTAATCGCAATTTTTTTTCATTTATTTAATAAAAACGAAGAAATGTCCGCAACTACAGTAACAACAAATGCTGGTATACAAATGCCACGTTTAATCTATGGTACAGCTTGGAAAAAAGAAGCTACAACTCAACTTGTTATAAAAGCTGTACTTAATGGATTTCGTGGAATTGATACAGCATGTCAACCAAAACATTATCGGTAAATTAGAACTATTTATTTTGAAAAAAAAAATTTTCTTTTAAATTTTAGTGAAGATCTTGTTGGTAAAGCACTTCAAGAACTTCAAACAAAACATAATATAGCTCGTAAAGATTTATTTATTCAAACAAAATTTACAAGTATTGATGGACAAGATCAATCGAAACCATTACCATATGATCCACGTGTACCATTAAGTGCACAAGTTCGTCAATCATTTGCCACATCATTACAAAATTTACAAACAGATTTTATTGATTCATTAGTTCTTCATGGTCCGGAAGGTACACATGAACGAACAATGGAAGTTTATCATGAATGTGAAAAATTTGTTGATGAAGGTCGTGTTAAACAATTAGGTATTAGTAATTTATATGATATAAATGGTTTACGAAAATTATATGATAGTGCTCGACATAAACCATCTGTTATACAAAATCGTTTTCATAGTGAAACAAATTTTGATCACGAGATAAGACAATTTTGTCGCGAAAAAAATATTTTTTATCAAAGTTTTTGGACATTAACAGCTAATCCAGATATTCTTTCTAATTCACTTGTTAAACAACTTGCTCAAGAACGTCATGGTACATCAGCTCAAGTATTTTTTCGATTTTTAATGGATATTGGTTTAACACCATTAACTGGTACAACAGATGAAAAACATATGAAAGAAGATTTACAAGTACTTCAATGGCAATCACTTGATCATGAATCTGTTGCTAAACTTAAAAAACTTATTCATGATTAAATAAAACAATTTTTTTCTTGTTATTTTATTCAGGCACTGTAGTATACTTTTTTATTAATTTTTAAAACGTAATAAATATCTTTTATTTATTATAAAATATTTAAAGAATTTCCTAATACAAATAAAATTCGATTGGTGATTGGCACGAATATATAATTGTGTCGATCCTTTGGAATATACACACACAAGGATAACGAATTATCGAACACATTGGATAAGAACTAATATAAAAAATAAATAAATAAATAAATAGAAATCTAGTAAAAAACATACCAATTATTGTAAAGACATATTACAATAAAGTATATATATAGACAGAAATAGTTTGCCTAGGTCATATTAAAATCATGCGATAAATTATCAATATTTGAAGAATAAACCAAAGACATTAGCCGACTATTTTTTTGTTTCCATTTCATTATCACTATTAGTAATATTAACAATTTCATAGGGACGAGCCATGGTTGGATTATGGTTAAATTTGCCAAAAAGAGAACCCATCATAAGTTGTTGTGAAAAACAAACTTTCGTAGGGAAAGTTCTTAATTGAAATTGAATAAAATATCCGATGAATTTTAAAGCGCTTTCTGCCATATCAATATATAATAATTGAATAACAATTGATTCAATGATTCGCCACGACGATAGAAATACAAATAAATCAATAAGTATATATCAGTAGAATTTATCAAAACGAAGTTGGAATGAATTATATATCGACTATTTATACCACAACAAGCGTTTACTTATGAATGATGCAATAACATAAGATGATAGGTTGTAACCCTGACGTGTGCAGAAGAAAAGAACGACAACGTGGCGTTTTGCTTGCAGAATAGTATGATGACGACCAAAAACGTATTCACTAAATAATTGTTCGTGATATAAAAGGTGAAAGGCCACGTATGTTGTCGTTCGAATCATACGCTTACACGACCTATACCTCGAGCACTGAAAAGAGCCCTTGCTACGAAAACAAAATCATCCCTATAATTAAGTATAAAAGAAAAAGCATGATTATTCATCGTTCATCGAAAAGCAAAAAAAAAGATTTTGATTTTATACTATTCGTTTTGTATATTTTTGCTGATGCAACACATTTATTCTCGATTCTATGATTTCTGGTTAAGGTAACTAAGTTGAATTTGACTCATATTTACTACATACAATATAGGACCGTACTGTTTCAGTGATTCACGGATCAGATTCCATACTCGATTCAAGTATATAATGAGTCACGAGAATCTACGCTTAAGTTCTCAAATTAGTTAACGAATTCACTCGGTATGTATAGAATTCCCGAACAGCTTTTTACAATATAAAAAAATCAGTATAGAATTAAATAAATATTTATTTCAAAAACAAAAATTAAAAAATGAAAGGATACACTTTATTGTTAGTTAATTTTTGTGAATATTGTTCATTAAATAAGCGTTCATTTTGCATATAATGATGACATTGACAACGACAACATTGAAATGACATTGGATTTTCTTCATAATTTCGAATTGAACTTAAATTAGATAATGTTGATAAAGATATTGAATCATCTGGATTAATTTTTGTCGATTCAAGTTGATGAACATTTGAAATACCAGAATCTTTTGAATATGATAAAGACCATGATCGACATTCACTTAAATCAATCTAAATTAAAATTTTTATTAATATTTATTTCATTAAAAAATACTATATAAAACCTTACATAATCATGTTGTGTTGTTGATGTTGGTTTTTGTTCATACGTAATATATTCATAATTATTAGGTTTCTTCACAGAACAACAAGAAATGCTTTCTAAAAAAAAATTAATATAAAATACCACTCCGAGTACAAAAAAATAAAATATTTACTTGATGATTTTGGTTTTGGTGATAATCGAAAAGTTGTTTGAATAGCATGAGAAATTTTCTAAAATAAAAATAAGATAAAATATTTTAGTATATAGAAATCATCACTTACTTTTCGAATAGTTTTAGACATATTTGTATGTAATAGTTTATCTTTCGAATTAATGATTTTTATATTGATAGTGGAGATATATAAATAAAATAAATGTGAGATAATTTTATCTTCTTCTACTCATTTTCTTTCTTTTTTGTCATTCATTAGATATGCATGGATAATTAAATATTGATAATCCCTTTGATCATTCTCAATGATTGACTAATGGATAAGTGAAGACAGTGAACATATAAAAATTAATTGTATGAGATGAAACATCATGTAGAATAAGTATAATTGAATAAATATGTCCATTAGACAAAGAATATTGATTAGAAAAAAAAATACAATTTATGATTTTGTTAAATCGAGACATTTTTTTCGTCGAAGTTCGTCTTGTCTGGACTCGAATTGTTTTTCGTACTTAGAAAAACATCTTCTTCGTTCTGTAAAGAAACCTCCGAAATATGCACTTGTATGTTATCAGCAAAAATAATGAGTATGTTAATTTTTCTAGGAATATCGAGTTGAATTTTTAATAAATAACAGTTATTCTCTTGTCAGTACATTTTAATATCATAACCTATGTACTTGTTGATATGCTCACTCAATCAGTTTATATAGATATGTTGTTAGTTTATTCATATACTATATATGGTCAATGTTTTTTTGCGTAGACGATGATTCATCATCATTTTGTCTTCGGCGACTCATAAACATGAGAATGAATCATAGAATTGTTGGTAAAAACCATGCATACGTGTTCGTGTACAGAACGGATGCAAAAAAAAGTGAAATCATAGAATATATATAAGATGAGAAAAAGAAGACATTTGACATTTTATAAAATTCGTTGAAGCAAAATTATTACAAACACTAACAATGCAACACAAAAGATACGAAGGTTATGTTGATCACCATGATGCTGAAGGTTTTGAAGAGATAGTATATCAACCATCAACTTCTACATATGATGATAAGAATAATAAACAAAAACTACCATGTCGGTGATGAAAAAATGAAAATTATACTGGTGAATTATCAATGAATACAATGAGAATTTTATCTCGATGTTATGGTTATAATGAGTTATGTTGAACTCTGTTTATATTTGATTCCAATGATGGAAGAAGCAAACAATTTGAAAAATTTATGATATTTTTCTGTATGACAAACAAAAAATAATTTTATATGAAATAAAATAATGAATACATAATACATTCTCTTGTTTTTTTTTTATTACCCTAATTTAAAATGACTAAAATAGCTGGATTATATAATAAACAAACAAACAAAAAATATCCCATTGATTGATTATACGACTGAAACTACTTTATGTGGTGGTTCATCTTCGATAGTAATAGAAAGATCTTTATAAAATTCTTGTACATGTTTCTTAGCATCATTCAAATGTTTTCGATCACCTAAACAGAATATTTAAAATTAAATAATAATAAAAAGAATGAACTAACCATAAAAAGTCCATTCACCACGAGAATGATCATGACCTATGTCTATTGTACCTGGTACAGCAGACCATGTTTTTGGTAAAGGTAATGTTTCCGTATGTAATCGATATACATCATGATATTTTTGAAAATGTGGACCTGTGAAACTATATTTAACTCGAAAAGAAGATTGATCTTCTAATGCTCTGAAAACAAGAAAAAATATTACTAAGATAATATTGAAATAGAGATATATTTTTACCCAGTAAACCATGTTTCAATATCTTTCATTGTTGTTGAACCTAATTTAAATTCTTTTGATTTTGATGTATGTGGAATATTCACATAGAGAAATTCTTCAAGTGGATCATAAATAAATTCGACACTGCGTGAATGCATTTCAGCTGGTACTGAACCCCAATTTTTTTGAATAAATATATCATCAGGATGCATTTCAACTGTTGATACATAATCTTTACCAATACCTTGTATAACATATTCATATTTCATTAACGCATTTCGAGTATTTCCTATTAAAAATAAAAGGTTATTTAGATGAAAAAAAAAATTTATCAGATTTATATTACTTGTAACGATAAATGGAATAGTTAAATAACCTGATCCAGTACGATCTGGATTTTTTAATAATGTTCGATTTTCCATAACAAAATAAGCTTCAGTTGGACGTCCCTTAGACCAATTAAGTACATCACCAAAACTAACATCCCAATTAGTTGGAACAGTTGTTCCATTTGCTGGAAAATCTTTATATTCAGAATCAGCTATTGGAATACCATCGATTCCTTTTAATGTTTGTGGTTCATTAACTAAATCAAAATATCGAGCTGTTCTTTCATTTAAAATATTAGCTAAAGCCATAATATGTAAAAAAAATTTCTCTTTAATCTAAAAATAAAAATTATCAAATTTTGTTCTGTAGAAAAGTTTATACTCATTATATTGATATTACGAAAGAAACTTCTGTTGTTCGATAATCATTTCGTGAATGTACATTACCTAATTCTAAATTTCGATTTGATAGTTGTATAAATCTGCCTATTGTTTTATATTGAGATCGAAAAAAAGTGGCCATGATTCTTTATAAAGTAAAAAAGAACAATGCTCGGGAACGAAAACCAGATGCAAGTAATGCGCAAAACGAAAAAGAAAAAAAATATTGGTAAAACGGTAACATTATCCATCTAGGTGACTATAGAAAGAAAGATAAAGTAACTAAGTTTAATTCACATATATATATATAGCTGTATATACAAGAATAGAGAAGAAAAATGAGACAAATATATATATAATCGAGGCCAGAAGATTAATATCATATCTGAATCATTTAGATTATTTTTCTTCTCTTCTATTAAACTGAATAATTGTCGTTTAAAAATAACTTTTTATTTGAAGTAGTTGATATTGTTTTTCGTTGATTTATTACTATGATATGTAAGGATTTAAATCAGTGAAAGATACATGTTAATCATAGATGAATATACTCAAAATTTAGTATGAATAATGGAATAATATTTCGTTTATAATCAGAATGATTAACAAATTATATTCATTGTCGAAGAATCATATATTTTGAAAAATGATATGCTTACACAAAGATTAATTTTGTGATTCTTTATGACGTTTTTATCAGCGCGGAGTTGTAGCTTGAGCGTGGTATAATCTAATTAAAATTGTTGATCGTATCACAACAGAAGCTTTTTAAGCTCTACTAGGAGAAAAAGATTTGTACTGAAGACTGAATTTATTACTTAAAAATAATTTCAAATATTATCATTCTCAAATAATAATCATAGATTTTGTTTTATTAAATAAAAAATAAATAAATACAATTTTTTGCATTTAGAATGCTTCTTATTCACATTCATAAAGTAAAAAAAATTTCATTTTAATGAATTTTTATTTTATTATTCCAAAAGTTTGATATATGCTGACGAACTAATGAAATTAATTGTCGATGACATATACCAGGTATTAAGCTAACAGTAAGTGCTAAAATTAAAGAAAATTTCATAGAATTTTATTTCAAAAATAATTTATTTTACCTATTAAATAACATAGGGAAAGATTATCGATACGTTGACTACATAATGCAATAAAAGTAAGAAATATACTACCAACCATTAAATACTAAATACAAGAAAATTTAAGTTTAATATAAATATGGAATTCTATACCATTTTTGGTCTTTCTTCACGCATTTTAAAAGCATATTCACATATATATTTGATATATTGTTCAAAATTTGCAATATGTTCACATAATTTCGTATATTCAACATCGTTAGATGATGTCCTAAAAAATAGATTTTGCGAAAATTTAATTATTCTTTTTTAATATAATTTTACCAATTTCCATCTTTAAAAAGAAAATGAATACCAATTGGTACCAATAAATCAATAAGTACAATTATTAAAATAATACAACTACAAAGTGTAAGAACTGGTGGATTTGTTTGAAAAATAAACCTAAAATTTCAGAAAGAGGGAAAAAGAAAATAATTTTCATATTGAATTCGATCAAACTAATTTATACATAAAAAGTAAAGTAATTATTCCAATAATAATAAATGGATAAGAATTATTTTTCCATTCAAGAAGATTATTTATTGGTAATAAAATATGACGCCATGGATCTAATGATTCTTTTAATTCTTCTGTACGAGATTTAAATTCCTAATAATGAAAAATTGAAAAAGAAAACCATTGTTTAAAAATTGTAAACTTACATTAGATGTTTCCAAGGAATTGTTAGCATCAGATGACATAATTATCTAGAAATAATAAATGATCCATTGATGTTTAGAGAATATCGAGTAAGACAGATAGTCCTTTAATATTATTATTTTTATATATCGAAGATGAAGAGATAACTATGAGAATAGAAAGTACTCGAATGACTCATATTATGTCACAGGATTCTATTGAAATTTTTGTAATGTAAAAAAATACTCTAAATTTTTATCTTGAAGAATTTGGTAGAGGTCGTTGTAAGCCAGTTTATAAGCCTGCAGTGTGCAGAAAGGTCTTCTATTTTTATTATTAATATCTCATATTTTTTTTCAAAAAGTTTTATAAATTTTATTATTAGAAGATCTTTATTGATTTTAGTGGATTCAGAAGAAATAAGTGAGACTGTTACCGCTTTAAGTAGTTGAATCACCAAGAACTGTACCAGATTTTTCAACTATAATACAATTTCTCTCAGAGGATGAAGAATATATATATATATATGTTTGTCATAAGAATTTCATGAAGGTATATTGCATATTTTGAGTAAGTACATAAATCGTATATATTCTTCACTTACCACAGCATTCTACTGATAGAAAATACATAAAATGATTAGTTAACATGGTATTTACAAAAGCAAAACAAACTAAGAATCAAGTGAATCTCAGTTTCAAATTAACAAGAAAAAAGATCAAGTGGAACGTTACGACTGATTTGATACTTTTGTTCAATCATATATGCATCCCTGTTATAGTTTTCTTTATACCTCTCATAACACAACGTATATTTATGGTAATTTAATAAGATGCTTACAGTGAAAATACTTATTTACGAATGATTTAAGATAAATACTATAAAGTATATGAAAGAAATGAGTGCATCATTAAAAGGCGCTAATCATTCTTAATAGATAACTGCTAAAAGATCGAAGATATATATATATATCATCTCAATCTCATTCAACTACTTTTGTCTATTCAACAATTACAATTCAATAAACAACACATTCATTATATTAGTTAAATATAGCTATGTACAGAAATCAAGTGTGAGTAATCAACCGAGTATTAATACTTTAATAAGTACGTCTATAAATAATTGTTTTTAAATAAATCTATTTGCATAAACCCATATTATCATGTAACTTCTATAATTTGTTTTTATATGTAAGTCATCATTTTCTTTATTTTCGTTTATTCTAAAATAATAATATAACTATTCTCTAGTTTTAGTTTTAATTTTATTTTTATTCGACGTGCAATTATCTGATAAAAAAATAAAACTGAAATCAATCAAAAAAAATAATTGAACGACTTTTTTTGTAGATAACATAAAAAAAGCAAGAAACTTATCAGTTAACTTCGTTCTATGAATTAGATAAGAATGATAACATTAGTATATATACTAAAGAACATTGATGACCATCTCGCTTCTTTCTATTATACGAACATTAGTGTA